ATCCTGAAAATACATTGGGTCCGCGGAGATAAACTTCTCCCGTCTGTCCGGCTGGCACCTCTACAGGTTCCGATCCGTCTTCAGTGCTGGTCATATATTTCACCTCCATATTTGGGAGAAGCTTGCCGACCGAGCCAACTTTTCGGTGCCAGTCCTTCCAAGACAAAGTGTGGGTTGTCGGACTGCATTCGCTGAGGCCATACCCTTGTTTGGCTCCGATCTTGATACGGCTGTGCATGGCTTCTAGAAGTTCAGATGTGAGTGGCGCAGCGCCAGAGTTCATCATTCGAAGTGATGAAAGGTCGTATTTCGAGACTGCTGGATGTTTGGCCAGTAGTAGAATGACGGGAGGTACGACATACGAGAACGTGATGCGGTAGTTCTGTACATGGGCGCACCATCGTTCAATATCGAATTTAGGCATGACGTATAGATGGTAGCCAGAGTACATCGAGGCATGGATCAAGCATGTCAATCCTGGGGAAGGTCAGCAAGGTTGATGCAGATCGCCGTTGTACGGATAAGGAGCAGTTCATTACCATAAACGTGAAAGAAAGGGAGGAAAGCCAGCATGCGGTCTCCCTTGCCATCCGGCCCACCATTGCAGGTGAGATTGCCTTCCTCACCCGCTTTAAGCTGGAGTATGTTTGACACTATGTTATAGTGGCTCAACATAACACCCTTCGGCACACCGGTTGTTCCAGATGAGAAGACCAAGAACGCAAGGTCCTTCTTTGGATCAATGCGCGCCCTACGATACCTTGTTGCACCGGACAAGTTGCGCACGGAGGAGAAGTGCTTATACTTCAAAGTCGGATGCCGCTCCGTGCCCAGCAGTACAATGCAGTCATCCGGTAGCCCAATCTTTGCCGCTGCCTTCACAGCAACATCAAGACAGGACATATGCGTGACCAAGAAACGCGCACGGGTCTTCTTGAGCTGGAAGGCAAGCTCGTCAGCCGTATAAGCTGGATTAGCTGGTGTAACTACACCACCAGCCCAATGCGTACCCCATAGCACCGGTGGGATGTCGATGTCGTTCGGCGCAAAGAGAGCCAGCACATCACCCTTCTTCCAATCAAACGAAGCCCTGAGACCTGTTCCGAATGTGATGGCTGTGGACTTTATTTCGGCATAGGTGTATGACCGCAGGGTGTCTGCATCCTGATAAATAACTACTGGCTGTTAGACTGGGGAGAGCTCTCTGGGGATAAAGCCGGGTGGTTGCTTACCTTTGTCATCCGGGAACTCGCGCTTCTCGTTTTCAAAGAGGAACTTCCACAGATCGACGACCGGGATGTCAATTGGAGGATAAGGGGAAGGATAAGGCATGGCGGTAGAGGGTGCTGCTGGCGGTGCTGCTGGTATCTTGTCTTGTCCGTAGCGAGGGGAGAGGGATGGAAGAACGAAAAGCTGGGGAACTTCAAAGATATAACACCCAGCCCGCTCTCCGCAGTGGAGAGGCGGCTTCGGGCTTAACTAGTTAGCGTAACGCCGCCGTATCGGCCTGTATCTGCAGCCTCAATACTGCGTCAACGTCGGTATCTTCGCCGCCAACCAGTGCAGCCTGTTTCTTCATCTCATCGACTGTAGTCTGATGTTGTTTTCCTCATGATGAAAAAATGACATGACGTCGACTTGAAGATTGAAGCAAATGAAGTCCTTCTTGCCCTTTTCGGCGCTTTACCTCGGCTTCGGCTACGGTTCACTTAGTCATCATTTCTCGGATTATCCTTGTTCCATATCCGGCAGGGCGCCGCAGCAAAGATATTCCTTTCCGGTCTGACATAAGCAGAGATTACCTAAGCCAACCAAATCAACCAATGACGATACTCCATTAGTCACAAAACACCACCTTAAATAGCAAGTCGCCTTCCTCTCCTATGCCTTCGGGCATTTGGTCATAGTAACGATACAGAGAAGATTAGCATGGCCCCTGCACTAAGGATGACACGCTCAATCAAAGAGAAGCTACCAGTTTTTTTTTGGCCATTGCGACGACGTTTTGGGAGGTTGAGCGTTGACGGCATGCAAGGGAGGCAGCGGTTCGAAGCGGCCGGTGGACAGGATTTATTTTGATTTTATATTTTTTGTGGACAAGCAACTGATATAGGGTCAAGTCAACTAACTACATAAACGAGCAACGAGCATAAAGGCAGAAAGGAACAGAGTCTCATTATGATTAAACCGTCGACTACATACGTAACTAGTTGTGTATTTATCTAAGTGGCCAGACCAAAGACAAACAAGGAAACCCGCGTGAAGCTACCTCCCCCTATTTTGCTGTCCCAGGCTTGCCATAGCACCCTTTTTTTTTTCTTTTTTTTTGCTCACCTCCGTCGTTTTGCGTAACTTGTATTTTGTTTGCACCTCCATGATCCATACCCCATTATCCACGTCGAAAGACGGTTCAACCGTGATATTGAAATGTATGTACTCCGTACGTGCAGCACTCTTTGCTTACTCCTTCTCGACGACGGCGGTCAGCAGCTTTCCACCACCAACATTCTGGATGCTGGCCTCGCGGGCGCCAGCAAGGCCGAACTGGGTCGGAACACCCTCAATGCGGTGAGTAGAGTTGATGTTCTTGACCATGGTGATTTGCCAGCAGGTAGCACCTCCTTGACGGGAAGTGATGGTAGAGTAGGCAAGGAAGTATTCCCAGATCTGTCAAACGTTAGCTATACGCTATTTATACGTTAGAGTTTAGGGGGAGAAACTTACGCGGAACCATCGCTTGCCGTACTTGGCCTCGACCTTCTCCCTGTTGGCCATCCAGTTCCTGTACCATCTCCAGAGGGTGGCAGAGTAGTGTACGCCAACGGTGTCAATGCCCTTGATCTCGAAGCCAGCTCCCTCAAGGCGCTCGGTGACGAAGCCAAGTGGTGTGCTTGCGTCAGCACCGGGGAAAATGTACTTGTTCATGAACAGACCCCAAATTAGATCCTCGTATTGCCATGACTTACGTAGGCCAGCAATCTGGAGGAAGAAAACACCGTCGTCGTCAAGCATGTCGTACACCTGGCGCAGGAAAGTAGAGAAGTGGCGGACACCGACGTGCTCGGCCATCTCAAGACAGGTGATCTTCTTGTATCCACCGGGCACGCTGGGAGCGTCACGGTAGTCCATGCACAGAATACGGGATTGAGATTCTTCAATGCCAGCCTTGCGAAGGCCATTGTTGCCCCAGGCAGTCTGGTTGCGGCCAAGAGTGATACCAGTGACATGGGCGCCGTAGTGGACGGAAGCGTACTTGGCGAGAGTGCCCCAGCCGCAGCCAAGGTCGAGCATGGTGTCTCCAGGTTTAAGGCCGATCTTCTCACAGACGACAGCGAGCTTGTTGTCCTGCAGCTGCTCGAGGGTCTCTTCCTCGTTGATGTTGCTGATTATGCCAGAGGTGTAGATCATGCGTGGACCCAAGAACCAGCCGTAGAAATCGTCACCACGGTCATAGTGTCCACGAACTTGCTCCTCATCTAGGTAACTGTTAGCATTGAGCTTGTAAAGGTAAGGATATGTAAAAGAAAAATGGATGATCCCCACTCACCCTGGCTTCGGGTATGCATGATAACCTCAGGCATCATTCCAGTCAAGAAATACTTGTACAAGCTCCAGGTGAACTTGAACTGAGCCCAGTCATGTCTGTACTCCAGCATCTCCAGCGCATCACCCTTGAAGTCCACCTGTCCGTCAAAGTACATCTCATGGAAGGTCTCCATGGGAATCTTGGATTTTCCATGGTACTTGGCACGGTCATGCTCGCTCAGGAAGTTAAGGTAATACTCGACAGGACGGCCGGGATACTTGGCCTTTTCATTCTTTCGTGGAGAGATGGTCGACGCAACGGTCCAGTAGGCCATCAGGATCGGGATGGAGGTGAAAATGGCGAAGAACAGGGTTGTCCATAGTCCACCGGAGACCTGGCGGGCAAGGTACGCAGGTATCAGCACCAGCAGGGAGATGAGCAGAGTGTTGGAGAACGAGTCTGAGCCGGCAGCGTCAGCTGGCAAAGGAGCGTTTTTGATCGCGGGATACTATAGTAAATCGTCTATATCAGCATTGACGATCAGGTAAAAAAAATAAAATAAAATAAAATAAAATATAAAAAATAAAACATGTTGGTTGAGGGTTCCTTGAGTCCACGTATATATATGGGGGGGGGGATGCCCAACAGAAAAGCACAAAAGCTGGTTAGAACAGAGTAAACAAACGACGTACCTCTGTCGTCCGGACGCCGCAGGGCTCAGCATTCGGGCTCACGCACGAGGCAGCTGGGGTCTCGACGAACTCGAATCCTTCAGCAGTGACGGCGGTGGTTGAGGGGGCCGGTTCCTGGTTGACCGACTTCTTCGCCATGGTGGGCGAGGAGGGTAGCTGGCAAGGTGCTGGCTGGGTTTGGGCGACGAGGGCGTAAGAACTGCACCGACGGCCGGGGAGAGACAAGACAGCGAGCTCAGGTGCAATTGGCAGATGCGGTGCCTGTCTGAGCAGAGCGAGACGGTCGATACAGCCGGCAGCGGGAGGCAGAGGGTGTTGCTCGCTTTGCAAGGGGGGAAAGTCGAAGGTGGTGAAGATGGACTGTGAGTTAGTTCGTGCGATGGGTGGGCGCTTGGCGGGCCAGCACATGCAGCGCTCGGAGCTTGACGTTTCAGGGGGCAAAAGCGCTAGCTAGGGCAGGCAGCATATACAAGGACTTGAAAGTACTTAAGCAGCGGCAGGGCAACTCCACCGGGAGACCCTTGATATTCTTCAGGCAGATGAAGCAGATGGAGCCTGGAGAGATCGGACCGGCCAGGGGTGTAGAGCTGGTTTGAGAACTGGCTGCAGTAGTAGGAGCTATTTATTCTGTGCGAAATAACAAAAAACGAATACTATAAAGATAATACATAGTGTCAGAAAGATACGATGCCCTGGCGCCCTTCCCCCCTTGTACCCCCTGACCCCCTTCCAGCAGAGATAGAGAAATAAGATAGGTAAGAAAAAAGATAAAAGGAGTTGGTTTAGATGAGAAGCTGGAAATTAGCACTCTCCTCGTCCTCCACAAAGGCATCGTCAACGTTGGTGCTGTCTATACCCAAAAGCTCTTCGGTCGTCTTGACCTCGTCGTCAAAGTAGCCGGCAATCTTACACCGGGACCACATCTCAGTGCCAAACGCAGGTGGGCCATAGAGCTGCATGTACAACTCTGGTGAGAGGTGGTCTGTTTCATTCTCCTGTCCGCCGGCATTGTTTGTTGACCTGTTCGTCTTGGAGCTGCTCTTGGGTTGGTCGGTCCCTTCTCTTAGAGCTGCCAATGCCTCACGACCCTTGGAGTAGCCCAGAGTGCTCCTTGAGCTGGCCACCGCGGCTGTATGGCGCATGGAAGATGGGTTAGTTGGTTCGGTAGTCTTTTTCTGTTTTGTTGTTGTTGCGGTGGTGGCAGTAGCAGCCTTTGCAGCGGCCTTTGCAGCCAGCCTAGCCGAACTCCTGGTCCGTACACTTTCCTTTGGGTCCATGGCCAGAGCCTGTGCAGCACTCTTTGATCGGAGGGTAGACACTGTTCTCTCTGACCGCTGGGACTTGGTGGTGGCTCGGCTGACAGGTCTGGACTCCTCTGCTTCCGCTTTGGCGTCGTCTCCTTCTCCGTCTAGCTCAAGAGTGCCAATGCTATCAATCTGTGCTTGAATCAATTCTTCGATGTGCTTGTTATATGCATCATCGAGCTCTTTCTCTTCTCGCTGCTTGGCTGTCAATCCATCTTCACCCACAGAGGTGTCTTCATAGAGCTTCTCCCATCCGCGGGCGAAGTTGTTTCCTTTGAAGTGTGGGAAGGTCGTGTCGTATGTAATATATCCATCGTCATCAGGAAGAGCTATTCCATGCTCAAATTAGCAGACTGTAAATCATATCGGGCCAATTGACTCACGCTTTGGCTTTGGAGGCATGTATTCAATCTCTCTCTCAGGCTCCTCCTCCTCCACAGTCACGGTCTTCTCCTGTGTGGCCTGTTCAGGCAGCGGTGCGGCCTTCTTGACCTTGCGAGTCGACCCCCGTTTGGCACTTCTTTGCTTGATCGTCCCTATCGGCATGGTAGGGGCCGGAGTCTGGAATGCCCGTGCCTTTGCATTAGTCGTCTTCATCCCCAGCGGCGCCCGCGTCATGCCTTAAGCCACATTAGCTATCTTATCCCAACACGGCACATATTCAGGTACGGTCGATAACTGCTTCACACTCACCCGCCGGAGTAGCCAACGCCTTCTTATCCGCACCTTTCCCCTTGCCCTGCAGAGCCGCATTCTCATCCTGTCCCTTGAGCACCACGCTTTTCCCTATCCCGGCGCCCAACCCCTTCCCGAACGTAAGTGGCCTGTTTTCATCGTGAAGAGGGAGTCTAAACGGCGTTTTCGGTGGCAGCTTGCCCGGCGTCTTTGGCAGGAGATGTCGCACTCCCTGGTTCAACGGCTTTGAGGCCGCAGCCGTCTGGTGCGCGTTCACCAGGTTCTCCTGGCCCTGTCCTCTGATAGACAACATCTCTCCAGCTGTGTCGTCTCTTTCTGTCTCTCTCTGTGTCTCTGTATATCGCTTTATCAGTATCTCAGCCAGCAGTACTCGTCGTCGCGTAGTCGCCGCTCGTCATCTTGGTCCTGTCGTCTGCTTTGCTTGTCGTCCTCTGCCGGCTGCTGTCTCGCCCTCAGTCTCGCCATCGCCTGCCTTGTTTTCCCTCCGCCCCGTCGCCCCGGCAACCGCGCCAGGGAGAAACATGTCTCACGTGACATACCCACTTCCACTTACGTAAGCCTCACCCCAAAGCTCCTTTACTCCTTTTTCACGAGTATCAAGCATCATCTACTTCCACCTCAGCAGCAGACGCAGGCAGCCATATTCTTGCCCAGATACTTAACATCCGCAGACAGACCTCGAAGGACACCCATTCCAAGCCCGCACTAGCAGCCAGTACAGCCCACACTAGCCCACCATGGACGGCATCAAGCGGGTATGTTTCCTGCCTGCCTCCCGCTGCCGCGGGGCACCAGTCTCGCCTGGGGAGAAAAAGAGCACCCCGAAAGACCCCCGTCATCCACCAACAGTGTCCCTTCGTCATTGCACCACGATACCCATGCTAACCATGACCTCCCATGGCAGAAAATCGAGAACATGCGTCAGGAGATCGACGACGGCCTGTCAAAGATCGAAGAACAAAAGGCCCGCATCAAAGAGTTAGAGCAAGAAAACCTATCCAAAGAACAAGAGGTAACCTCTCTCACCCACCGGAACCAGCTGCTTGAGCAGCGGGTAGAGACTCTCGAAGTCACCCTCAAGGAGGCCAAGACCAAAGCGAGCGAGGCGGCTCAAGACAGTTCACAGAATGAGGCCCTGCAGCGCCGTATACAGCTTATGGAGGAAGAGGCCGAGCAGACCGACAAGACCCTCAGAGAAACCAACGAGAAGTGCGTTCACATCTCTCTCCATAATTGTCTGTATGAGGCATATGTATGCTAATTCTGTTGCAGGCTACGCCAAACGGACGTCAAGGCCGGACACTTCGAACGCAAAGTCCAGGCTCTCGAGGCCACCCGCGAGCAATGGGAGACCAAGTACGAGGAGATGTCGAAGCAGTACGCTGCCGTCAAGGAGGAGCTCAAGGAGCTGGAGCGGTCTATCAGCGATGTCTAAAGTTTTAGAATGCACAAGATAAAAAATTAAACCTCTGTCACGAGAGTCCCTTTTGCCCTTTTCCTCCTCTGGTCACCATTCTACAACATCCATGGAAATACTTCTTAATTCTGTCTTCCATCACTATGTCTTTTAGTCTTGCTTCGTTCCAGTACTTTTTTTCACCGCCCTTTCTGCTGGAGTGTGATCATATATCCCCTTTACCAGAGTACATAACTGTGCATCGACAATTCAAGTACATTCGTTCTCTATATTCTATAATCCCTATCCAAAGGCGGTATATATCACCCTTTCTTCGCCTTCCTTGCCTCAGCCTGCTTCTTCTTCCTCCCACGCTCCTTGGCCCTATTTAGCTTCCTCTCCAGCGGACTCTCATACTTGAAATCCCGCTTCCGCTTCCGTTTCTTCTTCACATCTTTATTCGGGTTATCCTTCGTCCATATCTTCTTCTTTTTCGACTTTCCGTCGTCCTTCTCTTTGGCTCCTTCTTCCTCTTCCCCTTCCTCTTCGTCCCCTGAATTTTCATCTTCATCATCTTTTTTCTCGTTTAGTTCTCTCCTCGGCACCAGTCCCTCCCTAGTAGCTTCAATCTCTTCCACCGTGACGGTCGTATATTTATCCTCATCAATATATTCGGCCTCGTAGTCCACAGGCGGTGGTTCGACGATTCCGCCCCATTCTTCTTCCTCGTCATCGTCTCCGCCTTGATCCGAGCCATAGCCAGACTCTTCCCCCGTGGCAGGGAGTCCATTCAGCGCCTCCATCTCAGCTCTATGTCGCTTCAACGCTTCTTCGAATTCTGCCCTTCGTTCTTGTCGGATCTATGCTCAACCATTAGCATTAGCTTTGGATCATGACCAATTGCAAGTATATCACTATCCCACCTTCTTCCGTGTCTCTCTCCGCTCCTCCTTGGCTCTTCTTTCTGCAGCCTCCTGGGCCTTTTTCGCGCGCTGTACTTTTCGCTTGTGGAAGCCGGTCAGAAACTCTGCGCGGGAATCTGGGTTGAATGATATTTCCTCCGGCTGTGCGGGGGCCGCAATTTTTCGTTTCTTGGTCGGCGGGCGCATTTTTGTGTATTTTGTATAAATAGAGCTGCATCAATTAGCTTGTCTGAGCAGTTAATTAAGCATGGAGTTGTCTCATACCAAAAATAATAGCTATTGTTGTCTGTCGAAGTCTAGAGTTGAATTTATTTTATTTAAACTCGCATTTTTTATCTCGGTCTTGGCGCTTGACGTAAAGCTTGGCATCTTCTTTCAACTCCTCTTGCGATTATTATTATTTCTCCTGATAGTTCTATTTATCTGGTGATATATTATAGACGACATGAGAAAAGATACCGCAAAGCCATTTTCAACTAAAGCTGGAAAAGAGACTCAAGCATATTTAGCTCATGTCTCTATTGACAGTTGACTCTTGGATAAGGACGTTTTTCAAATTTATCCATTTATTTAGCAGTTTTGAACATTGACCATATTGAACATCAGGACAAGCACCCCCTACTGAAGTATCAATACGCACGTCATAGCTGCAGCTTGTTTAACGTTACTATACTGATGTACTCCATATGTCAATGTCACTAATTATCGAACACATCTCAAGAACTGTACCTACATATCCTAGCTTCGAAGATAGTATAATTGCTCCTTTTCTTATGCACATAACTGCTCAATCACTACAACAACAACCCCCAAGCCTTTTGCATATATGTTACCAGCTGTATTCACCATTATTAGCTACATTCACTATCAAACTATTTCGTTGTTGAATACTCAAATGCGGCATTGTGACGTCTCTTCAGCTCCATCGAATCACGTGACCACTCCATGGCCCGAACTGCTCGTTCAAAGGACGCAGTTGGAATCGTGAAACTGAATCGACCTGCACCACCAGATACGATAACCAACCCATCACGATGCAGCTAAAGACGTGCGGGCTCCTGGCCCTCGGCGCCATCGTCTCCTCTGTTGATGCATTCAGAGACACATCTCCATTCTTCCTCTTCTCGACCAACAGGTAAGCACTCGAAACAGGCAAGCCATCAAGTAGCTGCGGCTAACATATATACTTCCGTCAGCTTCAAAACACAGTCATCCCAACTCCAATCCGCGAGCTCTCTGCTTTCATCGATTTCGACGGAGCTCTCTTCATGTCCCTCGGACTTTTATATTCTAGTCTCCCAGCCCGGCGTGCATATCCTAGACTTCAGCAACCGGAGATCAGCTCCGCGACTACGAGAACGAGTATTGCAGCAGGATGATCTTATCAAGTCGAGCTTTTCCGTCAGTGAAGTGGTTGGTGAGTTCGATGCTGCATCACTACAGAAGCAGCTAGAGAAGGAGTGCAAGGCCGAGACGATTGTGGTTAATGGTGATGGTAGGTGGTGATGCCTTGCTTTCTCTCGGGCTACTACCTGCATGGAATACCAACTGACTTCTCATTAGTCCTTCCATCAGGATACAAGCACCGACCACAGGTTATAATGGTTGAATTTCCTGCTCTACCGACAGATATCAGCAGGTCGAGCCAACTCGTTGAAAATGGTCTGTCCCAACAACACTGTACTGAGGTATTTTAACAGGTATATTCTAACCATTGGATATAGATGGATTCCTTGCGACCTTGATCGACCTGCTTCCATCCTCCAACTATACCGTCCTATACACAACCACTCCACGGGGCACTGAGCCAATCACTGAAGCCGATATTGGCCACTTCGAGATGGGTGGTAGCCCTCTCCAGAACCCCCTCACTTTCAAACGGGAGTTCCAGGGTCGAGCTTCGCACGACGATAAGCCCAAGAATAAGAAGAAGGGCTCTTTGTTCACCGACTACCAGTTCCTAAGCCCAGGTAAGGACTGAGACCTCCCCGTTAATAATTCTATTTTCCCTCTAACGCGACTAGGCCTTTTCATGGGCTTGATCACCACCGTCATCCTGGGTACTATTCTCTATGTCGGTCTTTCTGCCTTGAACAGTCTACAGGTCTCGTACGCGTCTTTTGATAAGGAGAATGGTCCTGCTGGCGCTGCTGGCAAGAAGCAGCAATAAGCAGTAATATCTCACGCTTAGAGCTCGGGGTTGGTTTCGTTTTTCTTGGGTCATCTCATTCGTACATTGTCATCTCTCTTGCCTCTGTATCTTCATCAGTATACTTGTTTATGCAGCACGTCTTGTCCATCTATCCAGCTACTTAATATATCATCTTCACATGAACTTCCCGTTCCTTTTGTATACACCAGTCTTGGCGCGCTTTTCCTTTTTGGGCTGTTGTCTCTGCGACTTCAAATCAAACTTGCAGCGGCAAACATCAGAGACAAGACAGCGAGCCGCAAAAGCACCATCGTCGAAGAAGCACCACCTGTCGGCTATAGACACTTATATCCACTGTCTGGTCGCTCGTTTCTGGCGCTCCGGCTGTCTCTCGTCCGCTGCCTCCCGTTTAAGCCGCGCCTTGACATGGCAGCTCGACCGCTTCGTCTCCGCTAACCACCCCCTTTAATAAGTGAGTAAATAAAGCCGTCACTGGCCCAGCAACAGGAGACTAAACATGATAATTCAGGCTCTTTTCACTCGCTTCACGTCTATTATACTTGGGGCTCGCCATAGGAACTGGCATAGACACTCGCTATCCCGCGCTTGATATTTTTGCTTAACTCGTCCGAACAACCGCCAGTATGAGGCTCTCAGGAGGCAGAGTCTCTCGCTCGACACTCCTCCTATGCTTGCTATTCATATGCCTCGCTCTTTTTGCAGGCCATACGATGGCTCAGGATAACAAGAATCCAGCGCCGGGCAATAACCCCGCGCAACAACCCAATAACGCACCACCACCACCTCCAGCAAAGACAGATAACCCCCCCAATACACCTGCGTCGAACCCGGCTCCTGCGCCGACTGAAAATAAACCAAATGATGATAATAAACCGGACAACACTGATAATGCACCGAAACCTTCCCCTCCCGCGAATACGGACGACAAAAAGCCTGGTGAGACCGTGAACCTACCAACACTCGGCAGTAGCACGGAAAGTGAGCCATCAACGACAAAAGAATCTCAATCAAGTACTTCCATTTCCCTTCCCAGCAATTCTGATTCGGACAGTGGGCCGGGTTTCTCTCTGCCCACGCTTACGGGTATTCCTCAAATCCCTACGGCCACGATCCCGCCTAAAAAGAATGCTCCATACCTGCAGCATTCCAACCTGCCGGAGGGAACTGTTTTCATTGGCGTGGGAGCCGGACTTGGACTCATATTTGTCGCTGTGTTTGCGTGGCGTGCACTCGTTGCCTGGTCAATCAACCGCTCCGTCCGCCGTGCCGCAACCGCACACCAAACAGATGCGGCAGCTGCCCTTCTCAACCCGGCCAAGCGCAAGAGCAAGGCCTACCGCCAATCCAGAGGTGGCTCCATGTCCCTTGAGAAACTTCACAGCGGAAACACATCTAGCAACCGACACTCTGCTATTCACCGCAAAAGCCAACCGCCAAACTCCAGTCTCTTCTTCTCCCCGACTGCTGGAGCGAGCAATTTGCACGCCGCCGGTAATAGAGCCTCAGGATATCTCCCGGCAGGCTATTATGCCGCTAGCGGGGCCACTCCTGGCTCGGGAGCAGGCCTTCAACACAGCACTTCCTCAATTGGCCTTGCTCCTCTTGGTCCCCAATCACAAGGTTACTCACGAACAAGGTCAACAGGACCAACGCCTCCCGACTCGCCTGCTCTATCACCTAACGCGCGGAGATATGAACAAACTCATCCATCTACAAGCAGTGTAAACCTCTCGTCACCTCCACAGGGCCGCGCACCAAGCGCATACCTTGAAGACCTCTTCGAAAACCACCCCACAGGCCCTCAGCGATAATCTCGCTCGTATATATATAACGCTATAATATCCCGTTTATGCCCCCTTAGATATCCTAATCCATTCTATCTGCTCTATCTAGACAGCTACATCTTGTTTGATTATCTCGACAGTCATTTTCCCACCCGTTTCGTCTGCTAATCTCACCTTGTGAGCGTGCTTGAGTCGAGCTATTTGAGATTAAGGTCTAGCAGGAGTTACTGGTTTCCTTGTTCTATTGTTTTGCTATGCTTCATGGTTGATTGGTTTGTGGTTTGTTCTAGGTATTTTTACTTATATTATTGAAGTTAAAAGAGATCGACTTGGGTCTGGATTCGTATCACATCTTCCATTTTCTCTTTTGAGTATGCCATCGCCTCAGAACATTTGAGAACCTAGAAACCAAAGTGCCTACATGAAAAAGATGTCGGGCCTTTTGAGTTGAAGCGCGCGCCTAACTGAAGTCTTGGCATGAAGTTATGCGTCCCTCCTGATAAGCTTCTTGCTGACGCCGATAAAGAATAAAAAAAAAAACGTCGAAAATATGGCAAACAGTCCAACACCAAGATCGCAGCACATATTCCTTCTTGTAGCTGCTGGAACCTAGGACTGTATACCGAGTTAACTACTTTTTACTTCATAATGCCCCGTAAGTCATGGCGAACAATTAAGCGTCCCGCTTGAGTCAGACAGCATAGCTAACAACCATTTGACTGAAGCAGCGGATACCCAGGAAGACGATGATCCTATAACTGCATCATACGACATATTCATAACTGACTCTCAAATCCGCCGATTACTCCTTCAATACCCTGACCGCCCCGCTGACCAACCATACAACGACTCCATCGGCCAAAAACCCTTAGAATTCAGACTGAAGCCCAAGACCGGCCTGGTGGAACTAGATATACCGATTGACACTCAGGTGAACTACGATGAGGTCAAGGGCCTACGGTACGGCAATGCTCTGGCCAAAAGTAGAATTACGCAAGAGAATGGCTCCCATGGTATGGCGGGTGGATTCAATGTGAACGGTGGTGGTATAGGGAAGTTCAAAACAGAGGGTACAGGGGCGGATGATGTGAACGTTTATATGGATATGGACGATGAGGATAGGAAGGCAGGTGTCAAGATGACTACACAGGTCTTGGGAGGAAGGATAAAAAAGCCAGTTGATGGAGATCCAGTTTACATGCTGGGAGCTTTTAGAGATAGTAAGTATTTTCTTCCTGTCTATATGCGACGGTTAACTAATCGATGCTCTAGATGAACTACATCTTGCCCCGTTGGAAGCAGTAGTGCAGCTTCGACCGCAGTTACATCATATTGATGCATATGATGAAGTATCTGTGAAAAGCAAGGCGATGGCCAAGGCTAAGAAGGATATGGATGAGGATTCAACTTCGCGAAATGCTGCCATGGAAGCTCGAGCAATCGACATGAAGGTTAAATCTGCGGAGACAGAAGGCGCTAGGGCAGTTGGAAACAATGAGCTACTTCTCAAGCTCTTCCAAGACGAGAAGTGGGAGAAATACAGATGGATAGATGAAAACGTATGCATGCTTCCGGCTTCCGTCTGTCCGTCGACAACTGCTGACCTCTACTGTAATATAGGACCAAGAATCATGGGATAAATATGACCAGTATATGTTTAACGAAGGCCTTGAAGAGCCTGTTCAGCTGCAGTCGGCTATCACAGCAGACGATTATCTGGATAGCATGAGTGCTCCCAGAGTCGACCCTACCCGGCCCGAGATGACTGGCTGGGCAATGAAGAGGAGGCAGCAGATACGGAGAGCAAGCAGTAGCCATAAAAAGGGAGGAAAGTCTCAGGCCGAAAATGATGGTGACGATGACGGTGATATAGCCATGACCTAGCTACCTTATAGAAAAATGGTCAACACCTATCGCCTCGTCGTCCGTCTACATTTTTGATCTTTCATAGCCCGTTATTCACCTCATGGATAGTACCTAGGTACAGGTTGGGGCGGCCTCAAATTTATATGCGGACCTTAGTTTCTCCGCTCCGAAGTCACTTGGTGATATTCCGTATCGGGACTAGCGCAAATGCTGACCTGCATGTCACGTGAATCAGGAACGAAATTTTTCCACGTCAAAAAGTTTTATGATCTTATCGAGTTTTCGATTCGACTTCTTCAAGTTCTTCGAGCGAGCTTCAAGGGGTTGGATGCGGCCAAAAACCCCTTTCGTTTCTTTCTATTCTATTGTTGTTTTATTAATTGATAAACCTGATGTTGTTTATTTACTTGTTTGATTATTATTACAATTAATTGCGTCCTTTCTAATTCACTCCTCCACCCTCACCTCAGCCATGCTCTCCCGCGTAGCCCACAGAAAACATGCCCTCTACAGGCTACGACAAGCTCATGAGCCTCTCGTGCTACCTTGGCTATGCCCGGCCCTTTTACGATCTCAGTTGACGACAAAATGCGGTCCAATTCGCCCGATTGCGAAGCAAAATGCGGCCTCGACTATCGTTCAGCCCACCTCCCGTTCTCTCGCAACGGTGAGATGGGGAGCCATGGATGACCATCATTCTACCTACATCCCGTTTGAAGGCTTGGATACGTACAAACCAGTCAAAGAACCGGATACGCTACCCCCTCAGTTCACTTCTCGACCTCCTCTATCGGACCCGTCCGATCCGGTCGATCGAGACGCTTCATCTGTGATCATCCTCAATCCCCTTCTATCCTCGAAACCGACATCTCTAAGAAAGATAAAAAGCATTGGTGGTGACCTCGATGAAATGCTTATCAATCTGGATGTCAGCTTATCGGCTGGGATGTTTAAGCGTGCCAGCCTTCTGCTTCGTCGTCTTGCTGCCGCATACCCCCAGGGATCCCCGGAGTTGCTCGACCTACACAACAAGTATCTACGGTCCATGATAACTTACATGATTGTCAATCGACAGCCTGATCTTGTATGGTATGCACAAAGGTGGTATGAGGTTGATATGGGCCTGCTATCGGTTAAGCCTGATGCCATTACCCTTGCGTGGATGCTGCGTATGAGTTTGAGGATGCTAGCTGGCCCAAAACGCGAAAGAACGGTCCGAAGATACTGGCAGTCTGCGGTTTCAAGAGGGATCCACGAGGACATTCTTCAATCATCAATTTTACCCGAATCAGAACTTGGTTTGCTTTCCGAGGTAGGTGATAAGTCAGATAATTTGTGGCCAAAAACATCTGGGGCAAACGCTAATCCGATTTGATAGATCTGCTTCCATGTATCGGAATCTTCTGCAGGCAATGTTGAGCCCGATTTGGCTGGCCCAGAAATGGAACTAGATTTGAAACCTAAAGTCACCGACGAATCCGTTCTGCCACCGAATGAAATCCTCAACACCGATCAAAAGGGATTGGGCCTCGAGTCCTTGAAGGAATCTCTCTCACTGTTTAACCCCTCAACCGAATTCACCCCAAAGAAGCTCTGGGGCCGAACGCCTGAAGAAAGGGAGCAGAATAGGAAGCGTCTGAGACAAGAACAGCTCGAAAGAGACTCTCTAACATCAGCTATTGAGCGTTGGAGAAAAGAGAGCGAGGGAGTCATCGGACAAAGGCGTCAAGTGGAAGCGAAACTGAATGCATTCATGTATGAATGGTATCAGGGTGTTCTCGGTAAAATCAAAGAAGAACTGGAGCTGGCTAAACGATCGGAGTCGAAAAAGAAACTGACTCCAGAGGAAAGCGAACGATGCGAATACATTCCGTTTCTACTCGCCATCGGTCCAAGCAAGCTTGCCGCAGTCACCATCCTGTCCGTTCTAGGATCCATTGGAAGCTCCGGAATGGACAAAGGCATTAAACTGAGCTCTCTGTTTACCAACATTGGCCGTGCTGTAAAGGACGAATACATCATCGAAACCACCCGTCGGTCAGCTATCGAGGAGGCTCAGAGCGAAAATGAGGTTTACTATCTCAACAAGACATTCCGACAAATGAAAGTATACAATTCGACGGGAAAGTTCAGATCTTACATGCAGAAGCACACTAAGGACCAACCCCCTGTGCACTGGCCTGCTTCTACCGAAATCAAAATTGGTGCTCTTTTATCCTCGATGCTATTTTCTACCGCCGAGATACCTACCTCTCACAAAGACCCTGTAACCGAAAAGGTTACGTATGCAAAAGAGCCTGCATTTCAACACGTTTACCAATTGCAAAAAGGGCATAATGTCGGGTATGTTCAGCTTCACGAAAAGGTGGTCGAAAGGCTACGAAAGGAGCCGTCTGGGAATCTACTAGCGAAACATCTTCCGATGGTTTCAACTCCACGACCGTGGGTATCAAACAATCAAGGTGGATTTTTGACCCAGCCGACACAAGTTGTTCGTACTCGACATGATGATGCTCAAAGCCAATATTTACAAGCTGCTTCGGATCGAGGGGACCTGGATGAGCTTTATAAGGGTCTAACTATCCTCGGAAAGACAGGCTGGAAAATCAACCGTCCGGTTTTCGATGTGATGCTCGAGGCTTGGAACTCTGGAGAGGAGGTCGCCAACATTGTTGCTGCCAATCTCAACCTTGCGGAGCTGGAAAAGCCAGATGCGGAAGATCACGAAGCTGTGAAGGCTTACTACCGCGCAAAGACTCGTGCCGACAACAAAAAGATGGGTAACCATTCTCAGCGCTGCTACTTGAATTTCCAAATGGAGATTGCGCGAGCATATCTCAATGAATCGTTCTATCTCCCTCACAACATGGATTTCCGTGGACGGGCTTACCCTCTTCCTCCATACTTCAACCAAATGGGAGCAGACAATTGCCGTGGCTTGCTTCTTTTTAGCGAGGGACGAGTACTCGGCGAAAGTGGTCTAAGATGGCTAAGAATCCATCTTTCGAACGTCTTTGGATTCGACAAGGCAAGCTTTCAAGAAAGAGAACAATTCGCCATTGACCACGTCGAGGATATTCTGGATTCTGCCAACAACGGATTGAAGGGGAAACGATGGTGGCTAAAGGCTGCTGATCCATTCCAGTGCTTGGCTGCTTGTGTAGAACTGAAGAATGCTCTTAGTCTACCTGATCCAACAAAATACGTTTCTCACCTTCCGGTACACCAGGATGGTTCTTGCAACGGTCTGCAACACTATGCGGCACTTGGTGGTGATGCAATCGGTGCTCGTCAAGTGAACCTCGAACCTGGTGACCGTCCTTCAGATATCTACACTGCAGTTGCTGAGCATGTCAAAGCTTCAATTGCTAGTGACGCCAAAGCCGGGGATCCTATTGCAAAGCTGATGGATGGCAAGATTACTCGAAAGGTTGTGAAACAAACCGTCATGACAAACGTTTATGGAGTCACCTTTATTGGCGCCACCAGGCAAGTTCGACGGCAAATTGAAGATCATTACCCAGAGCTCGCGGAATCAGACGAAATTTCCAAATGTGCAGTTCACGTTTCCAGAGCAATCTTCTCAGCTTTGAATTCCATGTTTAGCGGTGCACACGATATCCAGTTCTGGCTAGGAGACTGCGCCAATCGAGTTACCCGCTCTCTCAACCCCAGTCAAATCGAGGAGATCCGTAAAGAGCTTGACTCGCCGTCGAAAACCGATTTGTCGAAGAAATTGAAGTTCAATAACTCTGTTATCTGGACCACACCCCTGAAACTCCCAGTTGTTCAGCCATACAGGGAGGCGAAAGCGCGTCAGATTCCAACCAGTTTGCAACTCTGCACGATTAAAGACATCCGTGGAGCAAATGAAGTCAACCGTCGAAAGCAACTGCAGGCATTCCCGCCGAACTTCATCCACTCTCTGGATGCCACACACATGATGCTGTCTGCTATCAAATGTGACGAGCTCGGCCTTACCTTCTCTGCTGTCCACGACTCCTTCTGGACTCACGCAGGTGATATTGACAAGATGAACCGTGTTCTGCGCGATGCATTCGTTCGCATGCATTCCGATGATATTGTCGGTAGATTGGCTGCGGAATTTAATGCAAGATACTCGAACAACCTCTACCTTGCTCAAGTCCGGCCAAACACCCCACTGGCCAAGAAGATCAAAGCTCTCCGTGCGGCCAAGGGGCGATCAGGAAAGCAGGATAAAGTTTACGAGCTTTTGGAAGAGTACAAACGCATTGAACTGCTCAAGTCAGAAGATCCTGCTGAGCAAGAACAGGGTCGAAATATGACCACTCCTGGAAGCCTCTTTGCAGCGACCGAGGGGGCAGATGATACCCTGGTGTCTGTTCAATCTCTTGGTGTTGCTGGTATGGGCCACGTTCCTCCTCCAGAAGAGCAGAAGGCACTCGAGGACGCAATGACAGCCGAGAGTAGCTCATCTACACTTAACGCGGTGCCAGAAATTCCTGAAACGAAAGAACTCCAGGAATGTGAGGCGGACGTAGAATTATCCACGAAGCCGAAAAAGAAATCAAAAGCCCAAGCTGCTTCTGTTTGGGTCTGGCTGCCGTTGACCTTCCGTGAAGTCCCCAAGAAGGGTGAATTCGACGTCCGTCGCCTCAAAGAAAGCCAATACTTCTTCTCCTAAATGATACCCAAACCCTCGATTTCCCACCGCATTTTCTCCTTTATACCACTTACCTCGACCCCCTGTATATAATTTTTTTACTTCCCATTCCACATTGTGCATTTAGCGGATATTCGATTATCTTCTGTATTTTTGGAACTCTCCAGACGGGCTGCATATCCTGACATCATCTCCTGCACTTACCTTCTCCCTTGTACTTTTACCTTCTTTCTTCACCTTTTCGGATTGTTCGGTGTTTGATTGGTGTTTGGTGTTGAAAAGAGACATGAAGATGGGATGTATACATATGCCTTTTATTTACCACGGTTTTCTACCACTTTTTATACGCTTACGCGCGAGGCCAAGACCGGCATGTCGATAGCCGAAATACGACCGCAAAGATGAGCAGCAATCTCAATGAATATACATTTACACTCAACTTCTTCTTGCCTCTTTCTTCCATATTATCTACATCAGATACAATCTCCCTTGACAGCGGATGATGGGTTAGGCGAATCAACCGACCGGGAGAGTACAGTTTGATGCTGAAAGGGGTGGGATGGCCTACAATCTGTCATTGTGTCTCGGCCCGGCCCGTCGTGGGCCGCCGCTTGATGCTGGCTTCAGTTTGAATTTTGCACACAATTTAAAAACAAAGTTCTCCTCTTGATGTTGTTACTCCTATGCCGTCCCCCAGTTCGCAGTTGTCCAAGTCGTTTCCCAAGGAAGATCGGCTACATTTCGAGAATACTAACATATCAACCCATTCGAATATACAGAGCTTGACGCAATAGATCACAGCATGTGATGGGTTTCATTAATAGGTTTGGATTTGCCTAAAGATCACGGTGTTTTTTAATCAGAGAGCAAGCGATGCCCAGTCCAAATATTGGTTAACCGCCTGTCAATAAAACATGCCCAAAATACCCCTAAGCTCGTCTAGCATATCATTTTGTCCCGGTGGCGCATTAATAAACGCATCTGTTCATCTGCTCGATGGCCAGCTTGTTAGTGATTCCTGTAGCCAAAAGGAAGGCTATGCTATCAACAACCCACGTACCTCGCATCGAAAGCAACCCCAGCTAGGCGGGTCACATTCCAAATCAGAAAAACAAAAACGGCTGCAGCTCTCTCCCTATACCATGAAATACGTTAGCAGAATGCAGTCGAAGGGTTTATGGCGCTGTCAGCATACATGGCGGCGCAGATTGGCAGGGCCGGCAGGTGTCTTTGGCGAAGCCATCGCGAGAGCGGCGAAAGTGGCGCAGATAACCCAGGAGGCTTTCATGTTGGATCTGTGTGTTATTTCATGCGTATGTAGAAACCGTTAGCTAGAGATTTATAGATTTGCACTTCGCATCTCGATGGCTTGAAGAGCAGCAGGTTTATATAGTGCACTCAGGAGAGCCGGGTAAGCACCTTCCTGCTCTGCTACTATTTACTGTTACTTTGGACATCTCAGTACTGGGTATAGATATGTATACTTCACACCGGCTAATACTGTTTTGGAGCCAGAAATAGGGTGTGACTTGGTTTAATCAATAGCTGGTTACCTGCTGGCGTTTAGTGGTAGATATTTGTCAGTGCCGTTGCTGCACCATGTTTGCCTTGCCCTTGGTGACTCTGTACATTGCAGAGTAAAGGTGAGTCTAGGTCTGCTGCCTGTTAAAAGTAGTTAATCTAGTTCTATAGCCAGGCTGCAAAGCCCCTTGGCTATTCAAATAGCTAGCCTTATCCAGGGGGTTACCAACCGCTACGCCGCAGCTGCTAGAGAGTTTATAGGATAACCCCAGACTTATATGCAAACAAGTGGATTCAATGGATTTCTAGCAAGTCTGTAACCCTGTAGTAAACTAGGATCCTATAGTCAGCTGTCTAGGGCAGATGTTATTAGTAGCAGTGAAGTTTTTATTCTGGGTGTTAGTTGCAGATTAGAAAGACGCCAGGAGTATATCATGGAACCTCTGTTGATATCACGGGACTTCACTAGGTGTAGAGACTCTCTTTCCGTTCTTTTCTTCTTCTTCTTCTTGTTTTGATATTTAATACTACTCTACTTCCTCCTCTTTGCCACCTTTCTGGTTGACTAGATGATGAATTAAGAGGCAATAATAGACTGACCTTCACCAACCAACCAACCTATATGAGGCAAACACACCTCCTCTGACAAGCCGCCTTATCTTCTGCCTCACTGTTGAACATACCTCTGCCTGTTATTGATAGCCTAGTGTTTGCCTTCCTCGGATCTTGGTTCCTAAGAACTTCAGGTAAGCATCAATATCAAACTCTCTTTTGCTCGGTGGTGACATCATCGATATTGCTGTTGAACCATGGAACCACCCGGCGACATATTTAAAGGGATGGCGGCCGTGGAGAATGGAAAGACCCTCATCAAGCAAATATAACTGTCAGGCCTGACCATATTATCTAGATATCATCACCACGCATCCAAACAATAAAGAACGAAAATACCGGAAGTCCGAAAGAGGCCCCGTCGAAGCACAACAGCCCAGGATGTGCTACCGAAAATATTATAAGTACAAGTGTTGTGCAGTCGAGAAGGATGTCGACTGGGTAGCCTGCGAGGACCGACCACCAGGCATGAACTGCCCTAAAGCACAAGAACATAACTGGCAGGGTCCGTATGCGCATTACCTGGGCGAGATAGAAGGACCTTGCTGGAACTGCATGTGGGAATCATACAACGACGGAGGAAAAGCAAAAAGAGAGTTTATTGCGAATTTTGGAAAACGCAAGCCAGGTGAACAACCGTGGGAGAGCGACGAGGAGAGAAAAGACCAGCGTATGGCCGGGGAAGACTGGTATTGGGCCATGCGGAGGAGACAGAAGAAGCAACGCGAAAAGGAGAGGCGGAAGCTGGAGACCGAGGCCGGAAGGGTGACCCATAGCACCGTCCAGTGGCCCGAGGGGGTCGAGGGAGAGGGAACTTCCGGAAGCAGCACTCCTGGGACGTCCGGAAGCAGGCCCGATAGCCTGCCAGAGAGTCAGCATGCCAGCCGGCCGTCGAGCAGATATGCGTTCTCCGTAGCCGGCGCGCAGACACCGTCGAGACAGCTGCCGAACTGAACGCTCCATCCGCATGTCACGCACACACACACTCCGCACTCCGTTCACGCATCCCCTATGGCCGCAGTTTGCCATCCTTCGTCGTTTTAATCCTTGATATCAAGCGTCCTATTGCATGACGAGACCGCATGGAGCCCCTTTACGAAGCGCATCCTTATCCCTAGGCTTTCCGTTAGTTAACTAACTACTAGTATCTCTATCAAATGCATTTCACTTACCTTCCATAATGTCGCATCCACTGTAGCCATCCTCATAGGCCTCTTCAGGTCCTTTCCATCGTCCTCATGCTCCGTAGATAAACTAGTTAGCTATCGCGTGTCGTTGACTCAAAGAAAAGAAATCCCGAAGATCTTTAAAAGCGGCTTTTCTCCTTTTCAGCCGCGCCAAGAACTTCAACTTCCAACTTCTCGACGTCAGCGCAAAGAAGCAAAACATCGTCAACTCGTCGTTAATCTATCTCGCTGCCGTATTCAGTCAGATGTAGGAGCCTGTATATACCCGGGACACGGCAAGATGCCAGCTGGAAGACCTCTATCCATCATATCAACGACAGGATGGCGTCCGGCGTCTTCGCGACTTCGACTTCACCGTCGACAGCTCCATCTGGCACCCCCGTTCCTCCTAGACACCTATATCCCACGATATCATCTGCTCTCCTCAGTCGATGCAGCTAAGAAGCGGTCGCATGCATATGCCCATCTGCGGAACTGCAACCTGTGCCCGCGGCTGTGTGGAGTGAACCGCTACGAGAAGACTGGCCACTGTCTGATCGGAGCCGAGACGGTGAAGGTCAATGTCATTGCGCCGCATTTTGGAGAAGAACCTTGCATCCAGGGATGGAATGGCAGTGGCTCCGTCTTCTTCTCGGGATGTAATCTGAGATGCGTATTTTGCCAGAATCATGTACGTTTTCACATACTCGTCGTTATGGCTGATAGTGCGTGGCTAAACATCGGCTCGCAGGACATTGCTCATCAGCGAAACGGGTTTGACCTCACACCTGAAGAGCTTGCTGGGTGGTATATGAAACTCCAGACCGTTGGAAATGTTCATAATATCAATCTTGTTACTCCGGAACATGTCGTTCCTCAGGTTGCCCTGTCAATTCTAAATGCACGAGACATGGGGTTGAATATTCCGATTATATACAACACGTCTTCATTTGACTCTCTTGACTCTCTGAAGCTTCTAGATGGGCTGGTAGATATATACCTGCCTGACTTTAAGGTATGGAAGGACAGTACGTCGAAAAGGCTGCTCAAGGCAGATAACTATACAGCCACAGCAATGGAGAGCATCAAGGCAATGCATGCTCAGGTTGGAGATTTATCATTTACAGCAGATGGCGTTGCGAAGCAAGGGGTTCTTCTCCGTCACCTTGTTATGCCTGGAATGGAAGACGAGGGGATAGAAATTGTCAAGTGGCTCGCCAACAATGTGTCGAAGGATATGTACGTGCATATCATGGAACAGTATCATCCAGATGCACATGTTGGAAAGAAGAAGAGGGCAAAAATCAAGGATTCTGGGGCAGAAGGGCAGACAGTACGGTACAGTGATATAAATCGACATGTCACGGACAAGGAACTCGGTGCCGTACAACTTGCCGCTAGGGAAGCTGGCCTCTGGAGATTCTGTGAGCCTGCAGAACACGGTGGGTTCCACCTCTAAACTCTTCGTTTTGTACATAATAAAGGAGGTTTTAGTTCAAGACCTCCTTTCGGTCTTCCTTTTCGTCACATTCTTTATCCTTGGGCTTAGAGTCACCCGCTGCTGGACACAAGAGACTCTGGGAAATCATTTGGCCATCATCTGGAAAGTACATACGACATAATTCCTTCATGCCTTCGAATACGCTTGGAAGCCGTGAGTGATCTTACTGCATCAGAAGAGTGAACAGATTGACTTACGCCTCTCTTTGACCACACTTGTCAATCAAAATGGAGGTTCCGGTATTGAACCGTAACGAATAGAGCAGGTTTCTGCCATTCCAGTCACCCTCTTCGCCGTGTCAGCATGAACAACCAGTTATCGCATAAATCAAGGCGCTCAATCACATACTCGGCTCAGAAGGCTCGAAGTTTTTCTTGTAGCTCTCTACATAACGAGGCTCGCTGAGACGATGACGAAGCGCTCTCCAGTTCCCAATATCGTACTCATTGTGGCCGTAGAAAGAACCTGCGTCAAATATGAATGGTTCTTGAGTGGCCCGGTCTGTTGCTGTATTCTCATCCCAGCAATCCCCGTGAAGAAGACAGGGCTTTATACTCCTTCCATCACTCTGAAGAGGCTCGAGGAGCCTAGGTATAACTTTGTTCAGCGTTATATCACACAGCTGTTCAAACTCGGGCCATCGACCGTGCTTAGCCAGGTCCATAGCAAACATATGGCCCAGTTGCTTGCGATAGAGCACCGCCCACGACTGTTCCCATGTATCAGTGACTTGGGTTATGGTACTATGGCAGGTAGTTGTATGGAAACCGAATTTGCCCGTTGGCGAAACCGAATTCTTGTGCAAGCCAGCCAGCCTTTCAGTAAACTTGGCCGGGTCTGGAGGTTGTTGACCAACCTCCCGGAAGTCTGTAAGCATGAAGTAGCTTTCTTCATCCTTATATTTGCCCCAGACCCAGGGCTTTGGTGCAAGGGTTGGGGAGACGCCGTTAATAGCTTTGATGGATTCGAATTCCCCTTCACACATCACTGGCGCAGAAGGTCCCTTGGCCTCCTATTACCTTCATCGTCAGTCAGGAAGCTCGGGAATAAAACATTTCATACAAATGTTGCCAGTCATGCCTTGAGAAAATACGTCTTTGTCGTGCCATCGGACAGCGTGGTCGCTATTTTGGCGCATCCTCCCCAGAGAGACCGCCCATAACGGTGAGACGAGATAACTTTTGTCCCCGGAATAGGAAAGCCTATATCTTCGTCAGTGGTACAGATGTATGTAGGTTATCGAAGCCAAATCATACTTTCAATCACGGCCCCATCCAAGGCAATTGGCTCGTATGTCTTGGGTGGCTCAATTTCATCCTCGGGTGCCACATCGTTACGGCGGTTGGCGTGGGGATGGTTGATTGGCATTCTGACTGGCTCGTTAGTTGTAGGTGTCAACTTCATCCAGGATCCAGCTTTTTTCAATATTTATTCTGCTTATAATATTAATATTGTCTGCCAGAACTGATACTTCGTATAGAGTGATTGCAGAGGTGACTCTTTACGGGAATAGAAACCTCACTGGTGACAAGTCTCATACCCTCAAGAGTGCCGGAGTAACTCCTCAGGTGTCATGGCAAGGGGCTGCCGTTGCTTTGCATATAACTAGCCAACCAGCGAAAACCTTCACTTGCCATACCATGCAGGTTGCAGAACACCTGTCATTATGCACATCCCTGATGCCGGTCGCTTTTCGTGTGAAAAAGGCGGGTGGGCTGCAAAATCAGGTTCCATTCGGTTGTGGCGATGTACTTACATATTTCCTGGAGAACGACTCTGCATGCCAATTCAGTATTTGCCTATTAGACGAGCCTTTTCTCAGCCAAAAGACATTAGATATAGGGAGTTTGCCTTGTTGGGATGATTCTTTGGAAAATTTGCTCTTGAATAAGGCGGATGAACAAGGATATCAGTTTTGTCTGAGGAGTTATTTTCCTCCAAATCGGTTGAACTCCAGCTTCACTATCTAGCGATTGGGGATTATGGCATTTTGTCCTCGACCATTGTCAGCAATAAGATATTTGGTAAGTTAGCTATCAACCTTATAATCGATAGAGCTCTCTAATTGTGTTGGCAGATCGAAAAGCTATGGTTGCATAAGTCTAGACAAAAGAAAACGAACAAAGAGAAAGATATCCCCCATGAAGCCAGGCCCTTAAGTAGGCCTGATTCTCCGCCGCCTGATACCAAAGTACCTGGTAAAGAACTATTAAATTCACATGCTCCCGTCACTACTACCAGTGAATCCACAAGGGCCAACAAAAGAGACCCTTCGGATATTGACCCTTTAGGACTCACGTTGATCCACAGACCAGCGGATGCTCATGTTGATATAATATTTGTGCATGGCCTGGGTGGCTCCTCATTGCGAACTTGGTCTTACGAGCGTGATGTTAAGAATCTGTGGTTACCCTGGCTAGGTGATGAGGAAGGGCTATCAAATGCCCGAATCTTTACATTTGGATATGATGCAAACTACGCTCAATCTGCTGCTCCATTAAGCATTTTGGACTTTGCAAAGACCTTGCTTTTTAATATGAAAGGATACCATGATGAAGGCAGGGAAGATGGCAAGGCAATTGGTGATGTAAGAACTCCTTGCTGTGCCCTTGTGGTAACTAGCGGATAGTTAACTCGAACAAGCTCCCTTTGATATTTGTTGCCCACTCAATGGGCGGACTCGTCGTGAAAAAGGTATGTTTATTCTATTTTATAGTTGTGTCTCCTTGAATTAACCGTGTATTTTATACTAGGCCTATATAATGGGGAAGCTCGATCAGTGTTATTCTCCGATAATTTCCAAGACACATGGGATGCTCTTCCTAGGCACTCCCCATCGGGGATCCAATTTTGCATCTACTCTCAATACCATTCTTCGCCTTGCTCCTACTATAGGCACGAAGCTTTACGTGAGCGAGCTCGATCGCAACTCACTATCTATCGTTGATATTAATGAGCATTTCAGATATGTCTGTAGCGATTTGGACTTGGTTTCATTCTACGAAACATTACATACAATTATTCCACCCGGAATAAAAGCTATGGTATGCTAGCCAAAAGAACAAAAAGGTCATGTTAGCTAAATTGTTAATTATCTGAAAAGGTGGTCAAGAAGGAGTCAGCTGTTCTAGGATATCCACAAGAAATGGCTACAGCACTCATCGCAGACCATAATCGGATATCAAAGTACCGTAGCCGGGATGATGCCAATTATAAATCCGTGAAAGATGCCCTGAGAAACATTGTTCAAAGAGCCATAGCAAAAGGTAACTTGATATCCTGATATTTTTCCCTACTAAATGCTTATGTATGCATTCAAAGGACATTCGAATACGGCGGCAAAGCCACCAACCCCTATTCTTTCAAGTATGAAAAGTATATTTGGCATACAAAATATGGGAGAGGATCCAGGGACTGCCCACGAACAGATCCTGCCTGGGTCATGCGGTTGGATACTAGAAAAAGAGTGGTTTCGGGATTGGGTTGCTGATATTACAGTGGACTTGAGTGTTCTATGGTTAACCGGACTTCCAGGGTCTGGCAAAACAACATTGTCTAGTTTCCTCGTCCACAACCTTGGAGAGCGGAATGCCACCATATCCTGCCAGTATTACTTTTTCGGAGCTGGCCAGCGTGAAGCGCATACGACTGCACACTTTCTTCGGTCTATAGCCTTCCAAATTGCAGAAACCCAAAATGATTTCCGCTCTCGCTTGATTGATCTACACCAACAGACCGGTGCAGTGTTTGACTCCTGGAACCACGCCACCATCTGGGAGAAGATATTTGAGGGAATTCTCTTCCAGGCAAAGCTAGACCAGTCGTTGATTTGGATTCTGGATGGGGTAGATGAGGCTGAATCCCCAACGGCGATTGTCAAATTTGTTTCTAAAATAAGGACTTTGACACCGACTAGAGTCCTGCTAGTGAGTAGGGAAACAGAGGAACTTGCCATGGCCATGACCGTTGACGGATGCCGAATACACCATAAAGAGATTCAGATTGATGATACTGCCAAGGATATTCAATTATTTGTCTCTCATTCCCTTCGTAATACCCTGTTGGATGAAAAGTCGAGAACGTATATTACTGACAAGATTATTTCTGACGCGTCAGGTTCATTCCTGTGGGTCAAACTTGTCATGGAGCATATCAAAAACAGCTGGCACACGGATATCGACCTGAAGAAGGCTCTTAATACCATACCGGAAGATATGCAACGGATGTATGAACGGATGGTGGACACCATTTCTGACCAACCACAAAATCGGATCTATATCGTAGCTGAGATATTGACGTGGGTACTCTGTGCTTCCATTCCCTTGAATATTAAGGAGCTTGCAGAAGCTTTAAAGGCTAGATTTGGAAATTTCACAGACCTGAGGACCACTATTAACCTGATATGTGGAGGATTTATCACTGTGACGAATTCAACAGTTACAGTAATCCATGAAACTGCTCGTGAGTTTCTCATCTCTGGGAGGACCAATTCGCCCATTTCAATTGATATCCAACAGGGACATATGCGTATTGCCCGAGTTTGCATGGAATATCTTTCTCATAGTAAATGGAAAACCGAGCTCGCCGCCATCCACGAGACTAGGGAACCAGACGCGGGAAATCCGTACTTCGATGTACCGTTTTTATCGTATGCAGTCACATATTGGGCATATCACGTCCATAACTCCGAGGAACCAGGGCTGCAGCTTGACGTTCTTGAATTTTTATCACAATCCGCTCTTGTTTGGGTTTATGCCGTTTCTCTTACCAGAAACCTTCAGGCCATTGTTTATTCTGCGCAATATCTCAGGGTATATGCCGAAAAACTTGAGCAACGGATGACTCAAACTTCTTCGATAGATTCCAACGCTTCCCGAACCCAGGAACTTATTCAATGGTCAAATGCACTCATACGTTTAGTTGGCCACTTTGGCTCACATATTATTGAAGCCCCTTCGGCAATATATAGACAAACAATCCCCTTCTTTAATCATGCGTCTATTCTGGCCCGGGAGTTCCAACACTTAGGCCAGAATTCAATCCAAATATTGGGTATCTCTCCTCGGAATTGGGAGGATTGCCTGGCAAGAGTAACTATGGGCTATAATGAAACCGCGGCTAAAGTTGTATGCAAGGATAGGTTTTTTATTACATTGCTTGATAGCAGTGGGACATTGGTCGTATGGGATGCTGTTACCTGCTTGGAGACTATGAGACTCTACCACGGTGAGTGGATAACAAGCATTAAAGCTGCCAAAGCACGAAATCTCTTAGCATCTGCTGGCATTCACTCTATCCGCATCTGGGACATCAACCAAGGAACGGAAATTTGCAGTATACCAAGGGCCAGTGAAAGTATTGTGATCTCCCTGGCATTTAGGTCAAACGACACAGAGCTTTTATATGCGGATGACAGCTTTACCATCAAATGCATAGACCTGGATTCAAGAGAAGAAAAACAGATCCTTGAAGCTATTTCGACTTCTGAGTCCGAATATGGACCCCCGAGAGGTATAGTATTCAGTCCTGACTCAAGGCGGGTTGCTGTAGTGCATCCTAGGCGTCCTCTTCAGATATGGCGCATCAACCACGGCAAGAATCCAAAGCAATTCATACGGAAAAAGGCTATAAATAAGCATAACTGGGGAGGTAAAGACATAATCAATTCACCAGGGAAGATTGTCTGGAGACCGGACTCATCTGGAATACTTGCCTTATATCCTGGTATGCTGTTGATAGACTGGAATGTGGACGATGATACCCAAACGGAGTATTCACATATCATAGCGCACGAAATGGTATTGAGTTTGGATGGAAAATGGCTGCTGACCAGTGATCATAATGATTTATTGAGCATTTGGTCCACAGATTCATTCCGGTTAATATATCAACTCAAGTACGAGGGAATTGTGCGAGATGTTTCATTTTCTCCAGATTCACGGCGGATCTATGATATCCGGGACACGATCTGTAACATTTGGGAGCCTCCTGTCCTGCAACTGCTGGATAATTGCGAGAGACGTCATATATCATCGGAGATGATGGCTCTTCCTCGTAATGGCGACCGGGTTCCGGTCACAGCCTTGATATGTGGTAACGACCTTCCATACTATTGTGCTGGAAGAGAAGACGGAAGTGTTATCATGTACGAAGCAAGGAGCGCAAAGAGGCTTCGAAAATTGTACGGACACTCCAACACCGCTTCGGTCGTCCTGATAGTGTGGTCGCTGTCTCAAAGATATATTGCTTCCGCTGACGATGAAGGTCGGGTTATCGCAAAACGCCTCAGGCCGCCCACTGCGCAAGCACCTCAAAAATGGGCCGTCTATGGACTTATTGACCTCCAGCAGAGTGGTCCCGTATCACAGCTACTCTTTAGCATCTCAGAGGAATTTCTCTTGGTTTCCAGCCAAGAAAGTGATGAGGTCTGGAGCACCAAATCGAAGGAGAAACTATGGCATGTAAATCACGAAAAGAAGACCCAGCATCGACGATGGATGAACCACCCAAGAGACTCTGACCTATTAGTTTGTATTGAAAGAGGCGAGCAGCATCTTTATACTTGGAATGGGCTCGGTATGATCTCCCTTGGCAGAAGACACATGTCATCGATGAAACGTGGGGATGATTCACTAGAAGACAACAATAATGACGAGTATTCGAATATTGGTTTCAACGATCCAAACGAGCCTCTGGTGGCTTTAGAGACTCTTGGAAATGTGTTCCAGATCGGATATCGCTATTTTGTTATCGAGATGGTGCTCACACATGGATTTAACCCCAATGCCAGGTTTCATAGCAACCTGCCCCGTCGCTTGGAAGTTATTGATTTCGGCTGTACGCAACCACAGAGGAGAGGCTTAATCCAGCTCTCTAGCCAAATAAGATGGCTGGTCGGGATTATCCAGAGGCAGCTGGTCTTCTTCAATCACCAATATTGGCTGTGCACCTGGGAGTTTGATACTGATGAGAACTCATATCAAAAACATTTCTTCCTACCTAGAAATTGGATATTCCCTGAAACATTAGATCTGGCCAGGGTAGACCAATTTGGAAACTTGCTATGCCCCATGGACGGAGAAATTGCTGTTATACAATCTGGAATCAGGATATAACAGAACAAGACTTGTCTTTGAACCTTTCTGTCAGCATATTTTATGGCTCGTCCCTCAATAGTTGAGAAAGGATGCTTCCAAATGTTGCAATTATCGCCAAAGCCCAGAATGGAAATCCTATAGCATGGTGTTGAAGTCCTAGATGAAATATAGACCCTGACACAGCAGCACCCACGGATCTAGCTAAAGATCCCATAGAAGCGGCGGCTCCATTGACAGTTGCAAGATGAAGCGGTGATGGAGCCGTATTTGTTAGCCTATATAATGTTAGTGGACATCAATATCGGATATTTGCTCTCTTTGCTAGATTGTATCTTCACGCACAGAATGCTGGAAGCCGTATAGCCCAGGTTTACCAGAATTGCTTTGACCCAAAGATCTATCAAAATCAATATTGTCGATAGTGGGTGGATGACTTGAGAGGTGAATGGCGTTAGGCAGTACAAGCATGGAAAAGCAAACACAGCCCAGCGAAAGACCTTCAAAGGTCCTAGGCGAGCAATCAATTTGGGCACAATAAAAATCTGAGCCAGGATGGCTATCACAGCCTGAGATAGGAGAACGTTGCTGATCATTGGAGAGCTCATTCCAAAGCCAGTTATGAAGTATAAAAAGTTGGAATCTTTCTCATCAGGCACCGGTTTTTTATCCTGAGCTAGAAAAATAGGGATAATCACGTCCGAAGCCACTTTATGAAAGCCTAATATAGACGCAGCTAGAATTTGAAGAATGACTTGTCCTGAATATGCAGATTTTGTAGATGACTTGACTGGCATAATTGTGTCTTTATCTGAATCCTTGGAATCGTTCTCCTCTACAGCTGCGGACTCGACATCTTCCGTGCAGTGGAGTGGGATATCGTCGTCTCCATTAGAAGATAACACGGCATATTTTTGGGTATCGATGTAGCCAAACAACTTCATTGTCTTTTGGTAGAGCCATTGGGACATCTCCAATCCTACATTGCGGCTATTCTCGAGATGAGGATGTGTTTCTTCAAGGAAGAAAAACCCCAACAGTCCACTGGTTGCCATGGACAATGCCACGACCAAATTTGGTAACAGATAGGGGAATTTCTCCCATATGCTTCCTTCAGGGAAGACTGACGGTATTGTCTTTGTGGGCTCAGCCAGCCAGCCACCAATGACTGGCCCTACAAGGCTCCTTTTATGGCAATATTAGCATTTGAGAAGTCATAGGTTAGATATAAGCTTACCCGAGTGCTCTCAAAAATGGCACCACAGAGAATGCTTTACCTGTGGATGCCATGTAAGCCTATCATCAAACCGCAGAGAAATAAAGCATACCTTGATCCTTCTTGTCCCTGACCAATTCTCCAACGCAGGATGAAACGACTCCAACATTTGGATTTGTCAAGCCGCCAAATGCTCGAGCTACCAGAGCAACTCCCAGGCTCTTTGACAGGCCAAACGCCAGAGCTGAAGCGGCACCGCAGACGACTCCTATCATCAGCGTCCTCTTCCGTCCTATCCGGTCACTGACTTTGGCCCAGGGAACTCCGGTCAAGAACTCGCCAAACGTGAAGAGTGAGACGGTGCTGGATGCCAGGACAGCTGCCCGCGCTGCCTGGTTACCGTCCGCGGGGAGAAAGGACTTCATCATGGTAAACGCATAAGGGAATATGGTCGTCCATGCCAGGGCCTCGCTGAACCTGAAAAGGCCTGTCCTCTAACTATCAATTTGCATGTCCTCAATTGAAGCTGAGAGTCCATCTGTTTGAAGCTCACCGAGAATAACGAGCTGCCATCGAATCCCGGCGTAGTCGCGCTCCCTGCCTGGCTCTCTTTTGTTTGCCATCCTGCACCTGTGTAGACTAATAGGTATCTCAATGTCTTGCTGTCCTCTGCGGCGTGTCTGTCAACGTTTTATGGTGTAGGAATATTCATGTTAGCGGCCGAAGGATGAAGAAGCAAAAGCCGGCCCGCCGAGCTGGACCGGAGTTCAACGCCGTCAAAACACAACATCGTGACGGTGATAACCACTGACAGCAGTGCCATTTGACCTCATTCAAGAGACAAGAGAGAATAGATAAATACCACGGCCTTTTGCCTCCTGCCAGGCCCACTTCCACGCTCCAGGCGTAAGGCTAGGGAACTTTCTGGCCGAGAGCTAAAAAAAACATCAATATAACACTAGATCACAGCAAAAGCCTGACCTGCAAACACTCCAACGACCAGAGAAATCGGCTTCTTACTGGTAGAGACAGTCCATCCGAGTGATACCGCGTCGAGATGAAGCCTATAATAGCTGTCCCGGCGACTCTTCTGCTGGTACATCGCGCCTGGTCAAGGAAATCGCTTACACCGTTGGGAATTGTATTCGCAGCGCTCACGGCGGTAATACATGCAATCCACCCGTCTTCGACTCCCTTTGCTCTTTTAATCGTCTTCTTCTTGGGTGGTACGAGGGTGACCAAGGTGAGTACTCATTTGAGCTGTCAATTTCAGCGTTTGATGGCGGTGATGGCGGTGATGGTGGTGTTGATGCAGCTGGCTAATAATCTCAACTCTACATCCAGGTAAAACACGACGTGAAAGCTCGCCTGACGATATCAGCCACTGGAGCAGCCGGTGGAGAAGGCTCACGAACTCATATTCAAGTCCTTGCAAACTCAGGTGCCGCATCCATTTTGATATTACTCGACTGCTATCGGATATACTACAAAAACGGGGATCTGTCATGTCTTTCGTATGGCAGGCCTGAGAGCCTCCTCATGGTTGGAATCGTTTCGTGAGTGCTACTATGGTCTCCGTACAGGGTGGGCGAACTGCTACTGACAGCTGGATTGGTTCTGTATTGTAGGACCTACGCTGCTGTTGCCGCTGATACGTACTCCAGCGAGCTGGGAATCCTCTCCAAAAGCGCCCCTCGTCTGATAACATCTCCTACCTTTCGAAAAGTCCCTCCTGGAACAAATGGCGGGATAACGCTTGTTGGTGTCGCAGCTGGATCCTTGGGGGCTTTTACTATTGCCGTGACATCCCTGCTGCTCCCATTTTGTTCTCTTGGTTCGCCTGTTGCTGGTTGTTCCAAGCTCGGTCTCGATGGAGGGAGTGCTTGGGGTTGGAATGAGCAAGCACTCTGGGTCCTCGCGATCACAATATGGGGTACATTGGGGAGCCTTCTTGACAGTCTTCTTGGAGGGCTGCTTCAAGCCACTGTTGTCGATAAACAAACCGGAAAAGTCGTTGAAGGATGCGGTGGACAAAAGGTCAGCCGTACCCCGCGCTGCCTCTCTCCCGCTTATAGATCTTCCGTTAACATAACCGACTAGGTTCTTATCCACGCTGGTGCTCTCACATCTAAAATCATGGGCGATCCTCCTGTCCGGCAAGAAACATCCCTTCGAACGAACGAGGACATTGCTAATGCCTTGTCGCCGCATGCTTCTCCTCACGAGAGCCACGAGGGAATTTCAGATCCGGCTCATGAGAGCCGTAAGATCACCGCCGGCAGTGACATTCTCGACAACAATGCTGTCAACTTCCTGATGGCAAGCATTATGGCGGTCGGAGGGGTTGCCATGGCCAGCTTCATCTGGGGCACCCCCATTGACAGTATATTCCACGAATGGTAATCTTTTAATGAATAGACGCCGATATGACAAACGAAAAATATATACACAATAAACACGCTCTTACGATTACTTTATCGGTCCCTCTGCTTTACAGCTTGATAAGAGTAGCTTCTAGTGATGATACCCCTTTCCGTGGGCCAAGCCGAGGCACAAAAAACTGGGGCATTTTATGCCTCAAGATATGCGCTCATCCGAGGACGACGATTTATGGAGATAGAGATCCAGCATATAATCATAGTGGGCTGACCAGCTGCAAGGGTAAAGTTGCAGCCTGATTCAGTTGGTGGGGATGCATCGTACGGGGTAGACCATGGTGACCAAAGATTCTTGGCTGTTCCTACAACCACGTCACCTGTATAGGCGTTGGAATGCCTGCAGCAGCTCTGGGAGTGATATATTGAAACGATGGTATCATACCAATAGTACCGGGGCTCTTTGAACAACAACCCGCTGGCGGGACTTGGGAGGCAAACACTTTATCCAGGTACTAACCATTTGACCCCTATTCCGATGTAGCTAGGCTGTTGCAATCTAATAAGCACTAACAAATTATTGTAGGACGCGCCTGCGATTTGCCCAGCGCTAAATATAGCTTCATACATATTGCTCTCAGTCCGAACTAGACCCGGCCGATGCAGCGGCCAGAGGACATCTGAGAGCAATTGATGCATTCGGCCCTTAAGACCGCATCTCCCTCTCTCCTGAGGTAGTCAAATGCGTTTGGCAGTAGCATTTCTCCGATAGCCTCTTTTCCTCATAGTTATCGACGCTAAACAGGACTTTACACATGAATGTCATGCCCCATTCAGTGCAATCGGATTGTTCAGTCTGATCATGAAATCCTTAGAAAGGAGACCGTCAGATTCCCTATCTCCCACTTTTCCGGAGGTAACCATAATGCTTCTCTGGAAAGAAAAAATTGTCATCGTAGTTGGTAACGGCTGTGCGTTCATATCATTGGATAATACCGTCTATCAATTCCATACACCCTCCATACGACTTCGAATACTGCGTAACATCCCATTTGCATTGCGACCGCTACGGTTACTCGTCTATCTCGGGGCGGGACCATAATCCCTGGTGTCTTTATAGCTGAAAAGGGCAAAAGACTACGGAGTACTCCTGGATAAGGGAGCTAGAACAGAGAAGTTCATGAGAAAGGAAACCCCTGAGAAATACCATGATGTCCTCATACCGGATTTTGAAATCGGCTACATGGTTGGTTTGCTGAACTCTCTCGTTTGACAACTCCCTTGGAGCTAACGTCCGATGACAGTGCCGCATATGTACTTGACATTGTTTACCTTAAGACGCTTCATAATGAAAATCTACTGCTGACATATGCGAAGATCTTGAAAATCGTCCCTGATGGGCTGCGGGGGAGCGAGGGATTCATCCTTGCTGGTGTCATGCCCTGGCTAGTTAGGGGTTCAGGAAAACATCAATAAGTATATATATTTGGCCGTGGGGGTAAATCCGTTGCGGAACACTGGGATGAATACGACGTCTCTGAAGCATACAAAGCCTCTGCAAAGCATGAAATTCCGAAATTCTTCATACGCCGCTGGACATACATCTGCCTTAATGGCCGAAAATTGAGGAGCACCAACAAGCATATTTCTTTCAACAGATGACTAGAAATGGTAGAAAGCATTTCGCTAACTACGACATCCCCCTGGAAGCGCTGTTAATTGCTTTCTCCGCATTCTCAAGCTGGTTCTCATGAACCTCCATTGAGGTTAAGCAGGAGGCGAGAGCACCTACGTCAACAAAGTTCAGGTTGCTCTCCATAATAGTTAACTAGTTATGGGCTGTCGATCGGTGTGTATCCCTCTATTTGTCTTCATTTCCGCTGCTTGACATGTTTAACGGCCCGTGTCTTATTAACAGAAACCTTAACCAACAGGTAACGAGTTGACTTAAGTCACTATGTGAAGTGACAAGGATTAGAGTGGCACTGCTTATCCCTGGCCAAAGCACAACTTCTGAGCTGATTACCTTGCTGGGCAGATCGGGATATCAAGGTAGGGCCTCCAACCCGGTTCTATAAGTGTTCCTGGTGGCATGGGTTTGCTGGTTCTATAAGTGCCGGAAATAATGCCCAGGTAGTTAAGTATGTGGCTTTCCAGATCCACGATCAGGGATGCAATATTCGGGATTGCGGGTAATATATCATCATATCTAGAGAGATCTCTTGAGCAAAGGCTGGGCATAGTAAACTCATAGACTTGAAGTAGGACTGTACTCTGAAGAAACATTGCTATGGAAGTTTGCAGTGGAAAAAGGCTCAGAAGAAAGAAGAAATTGTTTAGATTATACTACGATTAACTGATTAACTACATGTCAACATTAGTTAGTCATATATCCATCCTAGTTTCGGATATATACACATCCGTTTGTTTAAGGATCCCTCCGCAACACGCCTCGAGGGTCTCCATGTCAATTATACGTTCCTCACTCTCTGTTCGGGTGAGGTCCAATTCACGCCCGGTTTCAACGGATGCAGTCACAACATTAGCCCGGTTATGCATGGTCCAAGGTAGACTGCCTGCAATGCTAAGGGAAGGATTTGTTTCACGCCTCGTTTGCTGGCGCGAAGACCGGCAACGGAAAAAGCGCGGAAAGCATGTGCTTCTAGGTCGAGATGATCTCCCAAAAAGTTGAGGGAAGAGTATTGTGAGTGTCTGGCGAATTATGGGTAAACAGGCGCATATAATTGCGGTGTTCATCTCAACGGTCGCCCACATTGCGTTGAAAAGAAAATGGTCCACTGCTTGAATTAGCATAATTCATTGTAACGGCAAACAGCGCCTTATATAGCATGGGAGATTTTTAGGGGTTGAATACATGTAACATCGAGTGGTTTTGCAGATTGCGGGAATGTAGTAGAGCGGATTATACTAATCAAACAGACACTATAGAATGGGCAGTTAGCGAGACAATTCAAGGAGATTCAAATATAGGGGAGCCTCACAATCCACCAAGGACGAAGACAAAGATCAACGCCAGTTTGTCGCGGAGCTGCAGTCCGAGTCGGGAGACATGGTAGATAGGCAAGGCCAATATAAGAATGTCGATTACAAGATTAATCAGAGCATGCGATAACCACACGCCCAGGTCCTTCATGCATTGATGCGGGATACTTCGATCCCAGAATGCCTTTAGCGGAAGGCATTGGAAGAGTGTTGGAAAGATGTATGCGACGGATGTCACACTGGTGATGATAATAAGGCTGATGCAAGCCCATCGGAAGTACTTGCTGGCGGCAAAGACTCTTAGATACAGAGCCAATATTGACACTTTTGCAAGACCGATGATGAGTTTAAACAGAACTTGTGCACTAAGGAGCATCTAATACGGGGACAGGTGTCAGTTGTATTTGTTGAAATACACACGCTCACATAACAATATATACCTTGAATGCAAGCATTCTGTCTTCCTTTTCGATCTCATGATCATGCGTTCCCAGGCCATACTCGAGACCTTTTACAATATTAGCTATCAACGCTGGAAGTTTAAAAACCTGAAATTTTATACCCACCTAAATTGAGAACAACAGTGAAAGCAATTGTGAGGACCTGTACCCAGGTTAGTATACCGTCTGATACCTCCCCCTTAATGTATAGGTTATACATACCAATGCCGCGAGGATTGTCCAGTCATCTGCCCTTATTCCATCTCTGAGATATCTGCCGACCAGTCGCAGAATAACAAAAACTCCAGAAAAGGTAACCATCAATGTACCGACTACAAAAAGCACATATCCCTTACCAGTCACATCTGCTCTCCCCATCTCATGAATGCGGGCCCAAAAACTGGAAGAAAAAAATAAGTAAATAAACCAAGATCCAACGGGTATATCCGTACCAAAGTGAAGGACGAGAGGGAGACCCGTAGGTTGGTCATTCGAAGACCACCCGTCCTTTGCACTTTGAAGTTGTTGGGGTTATGTATCGTTTATGCTGGGAAGCAAGTTAGTCCAGGCAACCAGTCTTGTGCACATTTCGAAGGTATTGAGCATATATGAGGTGCAAAAAGGAGTTGTCCTCACTCAACTGTTGAGGGAAGTATTTCATCTTTAACATACTTTTCTTATTATTGTTGATGAGCAAGCTTCCGGAATCATCACCGAATAAAGAAATGGGGCCTGCTAAATCGAACTTGACAGGGTAGCCATTGGCTAGGGATAAATGAAGGGGAGGAATCAACAGGCACGATTCGAAAGGCATGGACGAGCATGAGTTAGTCCCCTCACACCCATAGAAGGGCCATGGCAATTGTTTATTTAGCGTGGGTATGATATCCGATGAGATATTAAGCCAAAGACAAACAGGGATTTATAGCAGTTCTCCCTTTTGTCAGGGACCCAGGCAGCCAGAGTGGGTGCTGTTGTTATACCTCAACCCCTTCCATGCATCACTGGGTCATGGCAGGGTGGAGCTGGTAGGGCCGACCGGCTTTGTCTGAGGGACCTCACTGTGTAAAAGCGCCGTCTTTCCTGCGGCCCGCGCTCGGGCAACCGACTGGCAAAAAGGAAGTATCGTTGGCAGAGGAGGCGGGAACGCAGAAGGAACCGATTATGCAAAGGAGCCTAACTGGCTCTCCCGCGGGCGTCTGCAACCCGGTATACCAGTCCCGATCAGAGCAGAAACAATCCGGTTACAAGCGAGTCTTGTCCAGGGCTTCATCACATTAACGAGCGAAGTGCAGAACAACCTGCTTCACGGATCCTTGTTGGTCGACCGACCCCTTACTGAAAGTGATGCTTGTTAGGCAGGGCCCATGGCTTCCATGGATACAAAAGAACCCAGTCAAAGGCGCCCGCTAGATGCGGATATCAACCCCGTTTAAGGGTATGCCAGAATCTGGCTACCCTATCGCCGGCGAAGGGAGGTCATTTTTCAGACAACCAAACGTAGTTACCCTCAATCCTCCATGTCAATTTCTGGTTCAGCCAGCCCAGGTGATATCCAACCTAGCATTTTATTGGCAGACAGGATTCTCCCATCCGCTGGATGGAGGAGTTTGCCCATCCTCGATGCGACTTGCTTCGTGGATAAAACATGAAACACGAAGGTGGCACAATCCATATGCAGCTTCGAGCTTCAGTGCCAACCCGAAACCACGCCACGGCTGGGGCCGCGATTGGTCGGAATATAAATAAATTTACTTCGTAAGAACGAGATTGGCCTTCGGGAGGGTGGAGTCTGGAGAGCTGACTTCTAGAATGTTTCAACCGCGGCTCGCTCGATTGGCGCGAAACCGATGGATTCGATATATAACGCGTTGGCTTTGCACTCGTCTACTCAGGTACGGCTGAGAGATGATACTTTTGATGCTGATGAAGCATAGACGGATGGCGTTGTCCTTGTCTCAGCCTTTCAAGTTACACAGGCCTCAGGGGTAGCGTCATAAAGGCGGAAGGCTACGGAAGCGGTTCGAGGGGCATTCGAGATTGGATATCCCCGAAGAGCTGTTCCCATGATCTCCCTTCTTTATACAGCAAATAAGTGAAGTTTTAAGATGCCTACAGAGATAATTAGAACACAATAATTCAAGGTGAAATTCCAATTTTTACGGTGGGGGCTAAGATATGGGAGCAGGAAGGAGAGGGAGGACGCCAAACTCTCGAGAACGGTCCGCTCCAGGACGACGAGATTGGGTACGCGCTCGTGGATGGAGTTGAAAATAGATATGAAGTACCCCATAGAATCAATGCATACTCCCCTGGGGTAACTCGGACGTTTGCGCGGTTGTTGATGCAGGTCTGGTAGCGGAGACGTTGAGATGTTGTTACATTGACGTTAGATGTTGGTGTTGCTACTTTGCCAGCACGTCTATGTATAATCACCACCACCCTGAAGGTTGTTTACAACAGAGTTACTTCGGGATGCCCTATTACTTGGAGGGTTAGTTCCTAAAATATAATCGATCTAGTAGCTTGGTGTCATCTTTTTTGATATTAGACATACTCGACCTAAAACTCTCCAGATGTGATGATGTGCTGATGTGATGAGAAAAGGAAAATGTAAGGAGTTGCTCCACAGATACAGGTACGTCGATAGAATTATTGGCTTCTTGTAGAAACTTGGATATCTCAATAAGTAGGTAAAGTACTAGTCGATGACAAGACGAGTTGACTCCTCATCCCTGGAAGCAGAGCCTGACAGAGAATGCGGTTTTCTCTTGTTGTTTGATTTCTGGCGTGAGATGGTCTTCAGCTGAAGCGCTCTAGTGCTGTACTCAAGCACATGGATGACCTCAGAGAATTCCCTACGCGCCTCGCTCCATTTCCCTTCCGCCATAAATATCTTTCCGAGTAAGAAGTGAGCAATGTCACGGAAATCACGGATTACGTCGGGACTCTGCTCCTCTATGGTGGGGCAAGGTAAGATAACATCAGAGATAGAAAACCGAGCTTCTGTGTATTGGCCGGAGGAAAGCAAGATAGCACCTTCGAGAAGGAAGGTTTGTATCCAGTCAGGCCCGGCTGGGTTTAGACGCTTTCTCAGGAGACAAAGTTCATTCAACGCATGCTGCGATTCCCCTCGGGCCCATTTGTATTCAGCTACCCCCAGCAGTGGCTCGTTGGCGGGGAAGGAGACCCAAGTATCCTGTATCCATCTTGGCTCAACGGCCATGAGAAACGAGAGATAGCTGCTACTTTTGCGTGTGCATTCGGCCAGGGCTGCTTGGCTTTCCATAATGATGGAACGGTGCTCTTCAATATGGGATTTGAGATCGGTTATTGTTTTTAGAGCCTGCGAAAGGCATCTCCGGGAAGCGTTTCTCTCGTCGACGGTTTTCTTGAGAAGATTCGCTAACTCGACCACAGTTGTTTCAAGGTCTTTCCCGTTCATGAACTGTGTTGGGTCATATGGTGAACTGGGAGATTGTCCTTGAAGCTCCATGGAGTCAGAGAATTTAGGCATGAAATAACTATTACAAGGTTGTGAATAGTCAGTTGCATTCTTAGCAGGCAAATCTCTGCTAAGATGTCCATTTTAAATGAGAGCTTCTTAGATGTGAAGTCATTCTTTGCAGAGTCACCGGCAGCTTCCGTCATTATTGTGACTAAGGGCAGCCTGAAAGGAAATAAATATAGTTCAAACTATAGAGCCTTTGGATTCTTTATTAACACTCTGTGGTGGGTATCTTGGTGTTTTCTATCACTTTCTTCATGTCTCCAACTAGGATATTGAAAGATTGATAATCATGATGTTGCTTTTTGATGTTTTCTGAATCTAGTGAGGTAGCGCTTGCTACGATCGCTAATTGGCTGATGTATCACATTAGTAAGAAATTAGTAATAGGATACACACTAAAAAGTTTTAATTCGCTTAGTCATGCGCGTATTTGTAAACAAACCCCTGCTCATATTTACCAATTTGGCAAGTATCTATATCATCTTCATCCACATATTCGTTTACAACTCCTTCTATCCGTATACGTCCTGCAAAATGGACGCAGATAATGACGGCGGCAGCTCTGAGCCCAGCAGCCCTCGCAGCCAGACCCTTAGCGAGACGTTACAGTTCGCTCCTAAGACGTTGAAGGCCTTGCAGGAGCAGAGACTGCTTGAGACTGAGCAGATTGAGGCTACAATCTTTAAGGAGAAGGCCACGGACGTGATTGATAAACTTACAGCCACCAAACGCGTGAGAGAACTCGAGCTTCGCCACTATGTGGAAGCTATAAACTTGAACTTAGCCCGGGCTATAAATCGAGAATCAATCATCATGCAGCTCCGTGGTCATCCAGCCTCTGCCGCCTGCGAGCACTGTAATAAAGGAGCCGGCCCATTTATTGAGTGTATTGTTATGAAGGATACCTTTTCTGGCAGCTGCGCGAACTGCCACTTTAATGACTTAGGAACTCGGTGCTCACTTCGTACAGGTACGTTCTATATCCATAAAATGGTTATATTGTCTAACACGTGTAATAGAGAGCTTAACGTCGCCTAATAAGGGTAAGGGCAAGGAGAAGGAAGACTTGCCGGCTGCCTCGCAGCCAAAAAAGAATGTTAACAAAGAGGGTAGCAGCCGTAAACGGCCTGCTACGGATACAGAGGTCCGTAAAGAAAAAGCCAGATGCCTGCACCACCATTTTCGTATGGTTGCGTCTACCGCCGAGACGTTATCTGCAAGAGCTATGGCGCAGAACGAGATCCTAGAAGAGATCTTAAAGCAGCTAGAAGCAAGGCTTACAACATTAAGAAATAGCATTGCTTTGATGCGGGCCGGGCTTTCAAGTACAGAGGCAAATGCAGTTTCCCAGTCTAATCTTGCTATTGCAGCCCGTGAGATGGCAGACAGCCTTGCCGCAGAAGCAGGCTTTGAGGACTTCGAGGAGACTACAAGTGAGGAAGAGGAAGAGGCTGCAGCTGTAGCGGATATTTGAGGACTTCAAGGAGGCTGCAGCTACAGCGGATATAGAGCCAGGGAACGATGAAATGAAATTGGAAATGTAGATGTATCTCTACAACTACAACTACCAACTGCAAGGGCTTAGCCCGTTTGTAAAATAGATGAATGAAATGAATGTAACGATATGATATCCTCCTATACACTAACACCAATGACTGTAAGGACTTCTGGATATACAATATTCTGAATGGCACCAAGATCTTGACTATTCGTTATACGCGAGAGATCAACGTATAACTAACCGTGTGTAAACACCGGAGAATGTAAATCAACACCAACGTGGTCAAGAGACTAGCCTTGCGATCTGTTGATGTCATTGCAAAGCAAGGAGCAACGGGAAACTGCCTACTGCCAAAGACTGTAAATCAATGTGAGGGATGAGGCTGCAGCGTTCGCTATATGAGCCACTGATAATAACTGCCTCAATCAAACGTTGTGACCTGGTTGCAAAACCCTTCCTTGGGCCGTAGCCGTAGTTGAAGTTTGATCTTGATCTTGATTAATAATTAGGCTCCGTGCAAACAGTGCAAACAGTGCAAACAAACACGATGCAAACATGCAAACATGCAAACCTTATCAGATCAAGATGACAAACCAAACAAACAGAACAAACAGAACAAACAAACCAAACCAGGCAAACAAACACCTCCAGCCGCAACTCCTGCAACTTCCACCTTTTTAGCTTCCTTCGGCTGTACGAGAATAACGAAGAACAACGAATAACAAACACGCGCGAGGGACCAAAAATGCCCCCGAGCTAGCCATGCAACCAGCTGGCGGCACATGGATAACTGACCCCCCGTGTAAAACCCCTCATCTTGACTGGATAACGGGAACCTGTTCGCTAACCTGACCGTCCCTTGCACAGGATACAACTTGGCATGCTGCGTCATAGTCGTGGGCCCCCTTGGAAGCCTGATGATCCTCCTCCTTGCGGGCTGGATTGTGTACCAGCCGGCCTGTGCAAATCAGTGGCCCATGATGTCGCACATTAATGCTTTCTAGACCAGGCTTGTTGGCGGAGAAGGTTGCAGGGTTGCCGCATACGAAAAAAACAAGATAACCCCGAAATACCGCGTCGTTGTCGTGTACCATCCCACCCCCCGCGGCGGCTTTCTACTTTGACCCTCCCTGACCGGCACGTACGCGAGATGACTCAAGCGGCTTCAGGGAACTGTTTGCTGTTATTGTCCTAAGAGTCCGGCTCGGATACTACACGATGGATCTCCAATTTTATGACATTTTTTCTACGAACCTTGTTCTAGAAACTATCGTGATGATTCCTCAGCTCCTATCTCGTCCGTTGGCATCCCTGAGCATCTTCCAAACCACTCCGCACCAGCGTGCAGGTAGTTGGCCCGAGTTCCGCATGATCTCCGAGCTACTTGTGCAAAGTACACCTTTCCTTAGTAGCATCTATATATATATCTGTGTGTATATATTTACCTGTGGCCCCTCCCTTGGTGAAGGTCTGTACTTTCATCGAGCTTGAATTTTAGTCCCTCTTTTTTGGAGCTGAGACGCCTAGCTGCTCCGGTTTATCTAGAAAAATCCATTATTAGACTTGAAAAAGCAACATGTCTCCCATTGCTACATCAAACGTTGAGATCGTGGATATCCGCGGTGCCAACCTCCAGAGTTCTTTATCTCAGGACATCTATCATGGTCTTCAGGCTGCAGAGAAGAGCCTGCCAACTTTACTTCTTTATGACACAAAGGGACTACGACTGTTCGAAGACATTACATACTTGGACGAATACTACCTGACGAACGCGGAGATCAAAGTCTTGGAAGCAAATGCTGCCAAAATCGCAGCACTTGTCCCTGAGAACTGCCAATTAGTTGAGTTGGGGAGCGGGTTTGTTTTCCTCTCCCCTTCGATGCCACTGCCTTCCCGAATACCGCGCAAATATCCCATACCCCTCTTCACCGGCTATTCGATTTTAACCGCGAGTGTAGGAATCTACGAAAGATCGAGATCTTGTTGAATGAGCTTGAGCGAGCGAAAAAGTCGGTTGAATATTACGCCCTTGACCTGTCCCTAGAAGAGCTTCATCGGACCTTCGCAGAGTTGCCATCGAAAAGCTACCGCTATGTCAAATGCCGTGGATTCTGGGGCACATACGACGATGGCCTCAACTGGCTCAACAACCCCATGAACAGGAAAAAAGCAACTTGGGTTATGTCTTTAGGTTCGTCAATGGGCAACTTTAGCCCTGTTGAAGCCGCTGGCTTTCTCCGTGGGTTTGCCAGGAGTCTGGGACCGGCGGATTCGATGGTGATTGCTTTCGATCCCTGCAAGGACCCCGAGCGGGTGTTCAGGGCTTACAACGACAAAAAGGGCGTGACAAGGCAGTTCTACCTTAACGGATTGTCTAACGCAAACGCTATTCTCGGCTTCGAAGCTTTTAAGTCAGGAGAATGGGACGCAATAGGAGAGTTTGACCAAACGCTAGGGTGCCACAAAGCCTATTACGTTCCACTAGCGGATACCGTCATCAACAATATACATATCAAGAAGGGTGAGAAGATATTCTTCGAGCAAGCATTCAAATATGCAGCAGATGACTGTGAAAAGCTGTGGCGTGATGCTGGCTTGCATCCAACTCGAAAATTTGGCGATGACTATAGTAAGTTGGACCCCGCCTGCTAAGCCAAGCCGGCAAGGATAGGTTTCCCCCCTACGGACGGGCATTTGCCGCTGCTTATTTATAGATCCATATTGACCAGCCTGCCTTTGCCCTGCTGCAGATATCCATATTTTATCCTCAGCCACCCCCAATATGAACCCATATCAGCTACCAACCAAGAGGACGGAGTACGTGAAAGATGTCATTCCGACCCTGCAGGATTTTGAAGCAGCTTGGGCGCTATGGGACACTGTCACCACCTCCATGGTACCCCCTACCGACCTGCTCTCCAGGCCAATCCATCTAAGGAACTCCCTGATCTTCTATCTGGGACATATCCCAGCGTTCATGGGTAAGTTAAATTACTGGAGATTGTGTCAAATATAAAGTTGCGGGAGCTAATGCATACTGCAGATAGGCATCTCGCTCGAGCGACTGGTGGAGCCCCCACCGAACCAGCGGAGTTTCATTCTATGTTCGAGCGTGGTATTGACCCCGACGTTGATAACCCGGACCATTGTCACGACCACAGCGCTATACCGGATGAATGGCCTTCAGTTGAAACCTTGGTGGAATACCAAGGCCAGGTCAGGACTAGGGCGAGGTCGATATACTTTAATGGTCAGGCTGGCGATAGGAAAGTCGCTGAGGCTCTATGGATCAGCTTCGAACATGAAACTATGCACTTAGAGACCTTCCTCTACATGCTTTTGCAACACAACAGTACTATGCCCCCTCCTCTCGTCGCTAAGCCTGATTTCAAACAATTAGCATTCGACTCGGCCAAGACAGCTGTTCCCAATGAATGGTTCGAAATCCCAGAGCAAACTGTGGAGATTGGTCTCGACGAGCCGGGTTCAGATGAGATCCCTAGTACTTCCTTTGGATGGGACAATGAAAAACCACGACGAACCGCGCATGTACCAAGCTTTATGGCCAAGGCTAGGCCAATAACCAATGGAGAGTATGCCAAGTACCTGGAGGAATGTGGTACTGAACAGCTCCCCGCATCCTGGGTGGAAAAGTCAACCCAGAATGGCTCACAAAACGTTATGGCCAAGTATGCTGTGCGCACCGTCTTTGGTCCAGTACCACTAGAGTGGGCATTGGACTGGCCTGTCGCCGCATCCTATGAAGAGCTAAACTTATATGCAAAGTGGATGAAGTGTAGGATTCCTACTTTCGAGGAGGCTAGGAGTTTATACAAGTACTCACTTACCTGTCCTTCTGGGAATGGTGCAGTGGCGAACGGGTTGAAGTGAGCTTTTTACCCCCTACTATCATGCTGTGGAAACCTATTAACATGGCTATTAGGACATCTGCGAACGGATCAGAGAAACAAAACCATGACACTAACTACCAACCAGTGCAGAACCCTTTCAACCTAGACAAGTCAGTGTATGTTGACCTCGACGACTGCAACGTCGGATTTGCCCACTGGCACCCAACGTCAGTGACGCAGAACGGGAACAAGCTCAGTGGTCAAGGAAATTTCGGTGGACTATGGGAGTGGACTAGCTCCACTTTAGAGGCTCACGATGGCTTCAAGCCAATGGATCTTTACCCTGCGTATACCGGTAGGTTGAATCTATCCGATTCCAAGCAAAGACGAAGCTAATTTTCTGCAGCGGACTTCTTTGATGGGAAGCATAACATCGTCCTTGGAGGGTCATGGGCAACTCATCCCAGGCTTGCAGGGCGGACAACTTTGTAAGTTCATATTTCCGTCCTTGGTACTATGCTACGTACCGGCTTCTAACATGTCTTTTCAGTGTGAACTGGTACCAGCGGAACTACCCGTACGTTTGGGCCGGCGCGCGCCTTGTCCGTGATGATTGAATATGCCCCTATTCCTGTTCACATCCTGCTTAGAGTAGCAGACCACGCTGCGACGAGCAAGGAATAAATGATAATACTCTCCACCCTAGATTACGTGTTTCGCCTTCAATAATGTGGTTTATCTTGCTGTTATAATTATTCTTTACCTTTTATTTATCAAAGGCTTCTCAGTCCTTCAAATGAAACTAGCCATATGTTCCACCCAAGGCCAGTAATTATACCTAGACATATCCAACTGCCGGAGTAGCATCATGCAAACGAATACCTTCATTTTATCAAGGGAGTGTTCTAGGACACCTTTACGTAACTACCTGTCGCCGACGCCTTTGAAGTATCCAGTCATGCAGTCCGAGATTATATACATTATTACAGGCTGTGTCCTTGTACTAATTGACTAGCGGGTAGCTCACTTAGCAATGAAAACGAAGCAAAGTAAGAAAAAAATCGCCCAACAAAGCTAGCGGACAATGAACTCGGTAAATTGATGCATTCATATTCGGCTTTACTTGGACATCTTCTTTCTCTGCGTAGACATACTCCAGCAATACAGGACATATAATGGGCGTAGGATGGGAAGCTTAGTTCCACTATTTGAGGCCGGACTTTCTTGACAGAACATCTGGTGGAATTATGTCTTTCTATTTCGGTTATTAATAGGAGTATCCCTTCATTTCACTATTTGATAGTAGAAAGTGACCTGCTATAATGGGTATTCCACCTGTTAATAAATTAACTGACGTGGGCCATAAAGGCAGAAGACTTCCATATATTCAAGGGGACTATCAAAGAAGAACAGCTAACATATTACTACTCTGACAGGACTATTTCGTCTTAATTAACTGTGCTAGTGAATGCTGAGGATATATCCATTCATATTGTAAGGCAGGCAGTTAAGACACCAAGGAATGTCCTGATGAACAGGAGACTCACTTAGGCCATTTAGGCCATCCTGGTCTATTTAAGAGCCTGGGTGGACTCGATGTTTCTGAATGATTTCTCTTCTGAATAATTATCTTGTCTACAACTTACCTGCAAATCTATTTTGATATTACCCCCAGCAACACTGACGCCCCTATTTTACCAGAACGCTCATACACAATTCAGATCAACAGCTGGATATTGCCATTGTATCTCCCCTTATATAGGGGACTTCGTCAAGCTTTGCTCTCTTTCCTTTTCCGTTGGGATACCAAATCGAGTCTGTCCATTAGAAAATGGACCGAAAGGTGGATGATAACTTCAAGTGGGAAGAAAGCCCAGGACTCTGTATGGCAGATCAGACCCCTCCCTTGCTTTGATGATAATGGCTAACATCTTCTTGACGTTCCTGGATTACCAGACCATGGATGTGGAGTATGTGGTACATGTCTCAACAGTGCAAAGGCAAAACGAGCCTGCTATGGAAAGCATACGGAGCCTTGCATGAGGTACCATCAAACAATGTTCTGCATTGGTAAGCTGGCTGGTGCTAAAAAAGTGGTATATTGTTGAATAAGATGCTGACTGGACTGCCGTTGTATAGGAAATAGTCATAAATGCGACCCGTAAGTGTGCAAGGCTGACCTAAAAAAATTGCTGATACCTTGACTAACTGGATATGTAGTTGCCGCAAGTCAAATGAACTCCATGAGAAACGGCACAAGGACATTGCAGCTCTGGTAGACAAGATCCATGAGTTTGACCGAGGAGAGAGGGACCTTACTCTCAAATTTGCCGACTGTACGAATGGCCCTGTTCTCTATGATCGTAGGACCAACCTTACTCCAGCTATGGGGGTGATGAAACTTGCAAAGGCTGCTGTTCTCCGCTCACTTGCCCCGCCAGAGACGCTGAAGAGAACCCTGTCAGCCAAGGACCGCAGGGCAGAGAAAAGGGCCAAGAAGCTGGAGAAGAGCGTAGCCAAGACGATCAGGCGCCAGGCCTGCCGTCCAAAGATTCCAGAAGTCGTCCTAGCTAGTTCCATCGAGCAGGTAAACAAGGCCATCCACGGCATCAGCAAGCCCGAGTCTTCCTTAAGCCCCGAGGATGCAGACACCTTCTTCGTAGCCAGCATCCTACACTTCCAAGAGGTGGAAGAGCAGGCTCGAGAGTTTGCCATGAAACAGGACGCCCACGGAAGATACCACGAGTCGAAGACGCCATCTCCCGGGAAGTACAAAGTCGAGTACGGCAACATCAACAAGTACGAGCTTCCAATAATCCGGGAGATCCTCACCAAGCTCAACGTCAGCATCGAGAAAGACAACGCCGACAAGGACCGCAAGCAGCTGCTCGTGAAGCTTGGAGAGGCCATCTTCGCCGACCTGGAGCTGCTATCAAACGAGGCTCGGGAGACAATGAGGCGCAGCGCAGGCTACTGGCGCTTTGCCAGCAGGCGCACCTACAACGCCATGGTGCGCAACAGCAAGATCGTGAACTGGGAGACGGGCGAGAAGCTGGCGGAGGAGAGCCTGGCCGCCCACGAGTTAGAGGAGTAGCCTGTCATAGCATCAATCAACCTGTAGTCTTCTATATCTTTGCCGCTGTTGTCGATGTATAGCTGTCGATGTAGAAGGTTGTTTGTAGACTTCCAATGACGTTGAGTTGAGGTCGCGCGACCCATTTCCGCTTTGGGACACGGGATGCCGAAACTTTTGTCCGGCGGTTTCGCCGCATCAGCGAAAGGCAGACGACGAGGCACGCTTGATATCCCGGCGCTGCAGCGGGCGTCGAACAGCGCCATCACCGCCCGGACGAGCGCGAGACACACGCCAGCAGGGCCAGCAGCTTCACCTTCACCCCACGCTGAGCTCGCTGGCGTGACGAACCCGCGGAGTTGCGAGTGTCGGTAAACGCGGCTGTTCCGTTGTTTCGCCCTCGACCCACTGATACCGAGGATAACTAAGTCAAAAACTCCTATTAAAAGCGGGCTGCGTCGCCAGCTTCAACGTCTTCGCTGACCCCTCGCCCGTTATAACCTGCTCTGCTGTTGCTAACGGAGCTACCATATCAAAGGAAGAGAGAAGTGCTGCGCTGCTCGCCGCTGACCCGCTGACTGCTGACCCCGTCGACGATGGCCTCCGAGACGCTGACGACCATTTCGCCCATCACCGGCAAGCCCGTGGTGACCAGAGCTGGCGTGACACAGGATGAGCTCGCAGCGCTGCCCAAGACTGCCCAGGAGGCCTTCCGGGCGTTCTCCAAGTCGACGACGCTCGCCCAGAGACAGGAGATTGTCGCCCGAGCCCTGAACCTGATGGCCAAGAAGAAGGACGTCCTCGCGCGCGAGGTGACCGAGCAGATGGGGCGCCCTATCGCCTATACGGGGGTTGAGATCACGACGGCCATCAAGCGAGGTGAATATCTTAACCGAGTTGCGGGCGAGGCGCTCGGGGAGCCGGTGCCTGGGGACGCTGAACCAGGGTTCAAGAGATATCTCAAAAAGGAGCCCCTCGGCGTCGTTCTCATCATCTTCGCCTGGAATGTAAGCTAGACTCTTCCTAGCCAGTTGCGTTGTTTCTGGTCTTCAGCTCGAGATGCTAATTGAGCATAGTACCCTTACTTGATCCTGGTCAATAGTTTGATCCCTGCGATTCTAGCTGGAAACGCCGTGATTCTGAAGCCTTCTCCGCAAACTCCCACAGTCGTCGAACAGGTGTCGTCCATCTTCCTCGAAGCTGGTCTTCCCCGGAACGTACTGCAATATTTCCATTGCGGGTCGCTCGTCAACCTCGAGGCCATCATCCGGTCTCCCCTGATCAACCACATCTGCTTCACCGGCTCAGTTGCTGGAGGTCTGGCTGTCCAGAAAGCAGCAGCAGACCGGATCGTTAACGTCGGCCTCGAGCTCGGCGGTAATGATGCAGCCTACGTCCGTCAAGATGTAGACCTTGCTTGGGTCGCGGAGGAGATTGTCGACGGCGCCATCTTCAACAGCGGTCAGAGCTGCTGCTCTATCGAACGGGTATACGTTCATGAAAAGGTCCACGATGCCTTCATTGAGGAAATCAAAAAGGTGCTCTCCAACTATCGCGTTGGTGATCCCTTCGACGAGAAGACCCAAATTGGGCCCGTCATATCTCAAAAGGCTAGAGAGAACATTCTCTCGCACATAGAAGATGCTATCAAGGGCGGCGCCAGGGACGAAACTCCTGCAAACAGCACCTTCGATAACCTCCCGCCCGTCGGCAACTTCGTGAAACCTACGCTGCTCACAGGTGTCACACACAGTATGCGGGTGATGGCTGAAGAGACGTTCGGGCCCGTCATACCCGTCATGAAAGTCAAGGACGACAGCGAGGCCATTCGATGGATGAATGACAGCGACCTCGGACTAACTGCTAGCGTCTGGACAAAGGACGTAGCGACAGGAGAGAAGCTGATCCAGGATATCGAAGCTGGCACCGTCTTCATCAACAGAGCCGATTATCCGAGCCCAGTGAGTTTTGTCGAACCCCCTGTCCTGCGCTGCGCTGCGCTGTTCTGCGCCATGCTGCAGTTGCATGATATCCCAGTTCGGTTCATAATCTTTTTCCCGTTTGACTCTATCTTTTACCCGTACCAAGTCTTCTGGCATCACCACATTCTAACCTCCTTTCTTCTCATAGGACCTTGCATGGACCGGATGGAAGAATTCCGGAAGAGGTGTTACCCTCAGCAAGTTTGGTTTCGACCAGTTCATCAAGCTGAAAAGCTTCCACCTGAAGGATTATCCAAAATAGAGCTCCTCCGTCTGCTCTGCCTGGATTTGCACCTCATGAGTTATATGATAATTATATTTAATTCGAGCTGTACGAATATTAAGTCTCTATCTTCATCTGGTTATCCATTCATCCAAAGATGAAAATTTTTTCCAATCTAATCGAAAGAGGTTAATCTCTGCTATATAATATCCGGGATGCCCTGGAATGCAGATGCGCCGGGCGCTCATCTTTACGGCGTAGGGAAAAGCTATGGCTGTCTTTCTTTCCTTTTTCTTTTTTCTATCAAGCCACGCCGGAGAATTCCACCGTCCTGCAGGACGAGGGCTGGCGGCATCTTAGACTTATCGGACCATGGCTCCGATGGTATATGCCCTTCTTGTCTTCTGTCGCCAAGATCACCGGTTGTTGATTCCCAGCGCCGCCGCATATTCTATATGCTGCATAAGACTGAACCCGCAAATGCACCTACCATGTATTCGGACAGAGGGGACATGGAATGATCCCTTTTAAGTGGAAGTATATCGAAGGAGCTAAATGCCGCAGCGGGATGGGTGAAAAAGTCAAGTCATGCAGAAGGTTTCGACGGCGTTGTTGCTTCTCATAGATCTTCAACCAGCGTACTTTTTTTTGCATATTTAAGTTTCCCCATCATTGCCATATTCACAGCAATGCCCCGGAGTTAGACTGATAAACGGCCCATGAATAGATATCCGCCTCATAGAAATGTCGGAACTTGGCTCAGGCGCTGTTTTCGATGCTTCTTACCCTCCTCTCGCACCCCTGCATTCTCAGGCTGGAAAGTTTTGATCTGGTCAAATGTAGGATCACTTTCTTCAATTTTCACTTGGCGTTTAGCAGGGCTCGGGCCCGGTTCCTTGGCTGGCTCGTCTTGCTCATCGAAGAATTTTGCAAATCGGGAGCTCGAGCTTCCACGAGGCTTTGGTACTGAATTTGATCGAGTAGCAGGCGAAGACGACCCACTGCTAGAGCTCTGGGACTCTCTGATGTTTACATGTGGCTGCTTGATAGGCGAGGGTGCTGGGTCTGCCCTTGTAATTGAAGGAGTCGAGTCTCTCTTATGCGGGAGAGCGACAGGAGTTTGCTTGGAGGTGCATGCTGGTACTGATGTCTTAGATCGAGCTGATATAGCCGGTGGTCGGCTTAATGACTTAGCTTGGACGCCTAGGTCATCATCGTCGCTGGAAGCTGTAAAGTCTTCCGTTGCATCCGCCCTCGATGGAGGTCGAATGTTCGAAATTGGTCTGGCCTTCACACCTTCGTCTGTGCCCTTGTCTCGCAAGGACTTTTCAACGCCACCACTCGTGTTCGCTGGTCGGGAGTAGCCCAACGCTGCCTTTGTGGAAGACTTGATCCCCTGTAGACCCATGAGCGGACGGGATTGCTTCGCAGTCACCATCAATGCTTGCAATGAAGTTCCTACCCATGGGTCATCGTCTCGGTCTTCATCACTCATCCCTATATCTTCGTCGTTTATTTCTTCCATATCAGAATCATCAACCTGCGGCCTTCCAGCATCCTCCTTCATCTTTTCCAATGCCTCTAGACGCTGCATATCTGAGGATTCGCGCTGAATACTCTTTTTGGTTGCATTATTCATAGACGTCTTCGGATCGGTAGGCCTTCGCTGGGTCATTCTCATCACCTTCGAGGCATTTGCCGTCTTGGCTTGCTTCCTTTTACGAGTATATTCGGCCTGATGCAAATGTGCCGTAAACGATCGAGCGGTTGACAGGAACTCATCCTCCACCATTATGTATTGATCGTCGGCGTCGAGGCCATCTATCATAAGTCTAGATCTCTGTGTTAGCCAGGTATCCCGTGTAGTGGCCGGATATTTCTAGGTCTGCGTACTCTTCAGAGGGCGGTTCTCTAACAGGCGAAGCTGAGCGTGTTCGATCTGCGGACACAAGTTAGCCATGTTCTGTACCAACTAGCGGATGTACCATGTCTGCAGATAGATGCACACGCTGGATTGTTCACTTACCGAGTCTACCTGACAGCGCAGTGCTTGTCGAGCTCCGCTGCGCTCCTAGCTCACGCTTGATAGGCCTCTCTGGTGTCGAGCGTTCCCGCTTCGGCTCGTCCAGTTCCCACGGTAGAACTCGGGGCATCGTATCGCCAATAGTAGCATCTTTAAAGTTGTGTGCTTTCAGGTAGGGGACGCTGCTGGCCGTAGTGAGTCTCGAGTTGTTGGTGGTGTTGACGTTTGTCGTCGTTTTTCGCTGGCAAGCCAACGATGTCACCAAAAGTCTAAATAGGCGCCAAACTTGACGTCAAACGTTCAGTTTACATCGAGATATCGTTTGACGCTTGAATAACAGCCTCTTTGACTGAAGTAAGGAGAGTCCGAGATACATCCATGGACTATGTCATCCTTCATCTCTTACTTCCTCCCTCAGAGTATCAACTGGACATGTTCAATGGTGGATGTGCGGCTCTAGTTAATAGACGGCTATACCTTTGGCAGAAGACTACAGAGTACAGCAGCGAGGAGAATCAATAAAGCGAGTGCTCCGTTGAGAATGGGCGATAAAACGAATACTGATTCTTGTAAGCGAATTGCTTGTGCCATAACCCACAGGAGTGCTGATTTTCTTTGGGAGTCAGACAAGCTCTGTATTGCTGAGACAGTCGAATACCAGCTATCCTTGCATTCGGTTACAGAATGACCAATCGTCTAGCACAAGAGAAGACAGCAGGCCAGTTAACAGGCCAGATAATGGATCTATAGCAGGCGTTCTTAATAGCCAAGATGACCCCTGTTGATCACACTGTGACATTTACACCGAGTTATCCTACTTGAAATTTCTGTCACTCGGCAGTACCCAGCGAACTCACGCATAGAAAACTTAACCACAGCCCTTCTACGGAGTATGTACCTGAGAATACAGTTAAGTATCAAACCATAGCATCTAAACTCCACGGATATCGATCGATGGATATAAGGCTATTCTATACAGCAATTGTTTCTCAAGCGGTGTAATAGCCGCATCGGTGCATCACTCCTGGCGATAATGCAGCTACATATGCATGTTAATATCGAAATGGTAACGAGTGATAGGCCTGGGCTGAAGCACCTGTTGGCAAGCAGGTAGGGAGAGTGGGTATTCAAATGAATCATCGGTGGATTTATGCGCCCTAATGTATGTCGCCATGGCTTCGACCAGCGTTTACCCTAGTAATCCATCGAGGGTTAGCCGCTTCCAGTCATTTCCGGGCCAATGATGGCGCTCTACAGCAGTCCCAGGTGTTGGCGAGTATGAAGAGCAAGGCGAAAATTACATAGGCATTCCTAGCCACTGCCAGAGAGGGGAAACCGGTAGAAATAAATATGACTCTGGGTTGTTGTGAAGGGCCTTACGACCTTCGACCGTTAACCTTCAGCCTCACATCCAAATATAATGGAGCGCGTCATGGCAAAGGTTCTCTTTCTCTTCTTCACACTGTGCGCTCTGGTTTCCTTTTTAAGCGCTACACCGCCGCGATGGCCAGGGAGGTCTCAATACCAACATTCCTCAGACAGGATCGTCTCCTCAGTCGGCCAGGGCTCTGCTACACGACAGCCAGGCGCTCTCCGTGTAATGTTTGTGGGTGACTCAATGACACAGGGCAAACAGGGTGACTGGACATGGCGCTATCGAATGTGGCAGTGGTTTCAAGCCGAGGGTATAGCTGTCACTTTTGTAGGGCCGTATACAGGCACCGTTGAGCCAGATGCACCAGCACCTCCAATGAACAAATTAGAGGAGGCTCCCAAAGCAAGCAGCATCAAAACCAGTGGCGGGTATGCTCCTGGAGTCTCTCCAGACTTTGACCGACATCACTTTGCTGTCTGGGGTCGATCAGCAGCGTTCGATAAAGACCTTATTTATGACGTGGTATCCGCCCATCCAGCAGACATGATGTTGCTGATGCTCGGCTTTAATGACCTGGGATGGCTTTTCAGCAAGCCAATGGATGCCGTGGCCTCTCTTTACGGCCTGATAAACAACGCCCGTAAAGCGAACCCGAACCTTAAGTTTGCTGTTGCGAACATCCCACAGCGCAGCTTCATCGGCAGAGGTGACCTACCAGTTTCCACGGACGAGTATAATTCCATTCTGCGGCTTGCACTGCCGCAATGGAGTACTGAGCAATCACCCATACATCTGGTTGAGCTGCAGGAGCACTATAGCTGTGGCACGAGTAATTGCGAAGCCGGATACGATGGACTCCATCCAAATGCCCAAGGCGAGTTCCAGATCGCTCACGCCTTTACGCTCACTTTGATCAACGATTTCAAGATTGGATCTTCGCCACTGGTAATACCGTCGAACCTTTGATATGGACGCACACTCTGGAGGAATGGTCGCTGGTATCTCAGAAGACGTGCCTAAATAAAGCGTTCTTTGCCCTGACACCGCAACCTAACATAGGAAAATTTCGTGAAAATGGAATGGAGCTTGCCCTCACTGGGATTGGATATCCCTAGATGACTGCAGTGCAAATTCTGTCCTATTCAGCTGAAGGGAATTGCCCTCGGATGATGAAATCATGCCGATATTTCCATGACATTGGAGCATCATATCCTTGTCGATTTCCAAGACTCTTAGTAGCCACTCGGACCCCGTTGGCTTTGCAACGAATTGCACATGGCCCTTGTCATCGAAATGGTTGGCAATAATGCCCTGTAGCTCGTTTGTAGTTTCATATATATTAGTTACGGTTAGGCGGATAGCAAGCTAGACGGAAAGCTGTATGAACCCTGCTCACCGGAAAATATCATCCCACTCTCTGTATCCATTAACTCTATCATGGTTATTTGAGCGGGATTTGTACATTGTACTTCGCGAAAAGGTTGAATTTTCGACTTCCCATGCAGCCAGGATATCGGAACAGTTAGAAATCCAAGGAAATCGATGGAGTAGCAGATATATGAAGAAACAAGAAGACATTATTGGAGGATATTCATGTATTCAAACTAGCCGTGAGTATTTCCAGAAGCGATGTCATTATGATCTCGTTGTCAATCCTTGGAATCTCCTTGAAGCTGTCCCAAACGCCAATTCTTGCCCAAACTCCAGGGAATGGAATGCCTTCCCACAAGTCCCGACCCATGCTCAAATTTCGCCCTGGAGGTGATACATACGAGATAGCACAGCCCATGATAGACTGGCACAACTGTCGTTATGAAACGTAAAACGATGCCACAATATATTGGGCTGGTAGGTGAAAGAGATCATGCCTCTCCGGGTCGTTTGCTGTTACACCCTACTATCTTTACCTTCTGCGCATGTAAGGTAGACTGGTCATCTAGCTTAAAGGTGACATCTTTGACAAGGAAAGTCCAAACTTCATCGCAGAAACGATAAGTATCGAGATGACCCTGTACAATGAAGTGACGGGGAGTATTCCCCTACATGTCAGCCACAAGCGAAAGAAATGGTTGAAAAGAATGGTTGACAACAGATAGCCTTATGCCACTGTAGCATGGGGCGGCTCGCACTCGTTTAGACCATTTTCCGGGTCAGCCGGTATGCATACCTTGAAGGAGAGCTTGCACTTCACTTTGTCCGCAAGGACTTCCGTAATGACGCGGTCAAAGTTGGACAGTATTTTCATGGCAAGCTGGGGTTCGATTCGGCCTTCGTTAATCAAATCATCGAGGGTATCTGTCAGAGACAGGCCGATGCTGGTCAGAGTGAAATCATGTTAGCCTTGCGTTTTCCAGACAGCGTGGGTTGTCAATATACCTGCTGCCCCGGTACAGCTCATAGTAAGCGGGAGCACTCATGTTTCCACCCTTCTGCGGTAGCCTCCAACTCTCCACCGAACAAGAAGTAATAAACGAGCAATTTTGAGGAATCAGAGCCGAGCACTCTCCAGTCAAACGGCGCACGTTGTAGCTATCCTCGTCTCCCGCCCTTCTGTTCTCTTTAAAAGTCTCTCCGTCATTCGCAAAAGTGAAGTCGATATCGACCATCCAAATCCGGCTAGGCAGCATCACATGACATTAAATCACGTGTGAGGCTTGAATTGATTTCACGTGATTACTATTTTAAGTTTAAAGGCTTGGCATTTGTTTATCAAATTTTCTTTTTCTTTTTTTTTTTTTCTTTTTTTCTTTCTTTTTCGTTTCTCTTGCTGAGCTTCAAGGGTGAATTTTGATTATTTGAATGCCTTCATTTCAACATGGAATGCACTGGAGAAGCTAATAGGATTCAATGGAGTGTTTGGCCTCTGTCACTACGGCGAGCTTGACAGCCTAATGCCAATGGGATCCTGTCCAATCCGCGGACATGGGCTGACTCTCGCTACCGAGCGTTCAGCGTACATGCACATCCATAAACTTCCCTGCCATCAACGGCTGCTGATTCCGAGCTACGGGCAAGGATAGCTGATATAGGAGAAATGGATGAGCTATTAGAAGGCCATCTCCAAATATAGGAAACCCATGGCTATCACATCGCGCCGGTCCGTGGAGGGGTATGTCAAGCCTCTTTTTTTTCCTCCTTCCATCTGGGACAGTATACTCCATTGCATGGAGTATACTGGAAATCTCTTTAGCCAAGGGTGTCTCGACCAGCCTTTGCTGCCGTTCATATTAATTGCCGACGCAATATTCAGGGAAGATTCAAATTCCAAGGGATGGTGGCTTGCTCCAATTGCAAATACCACTGCTTCCCACCTGGTCTTGACCATGGCGCATGGTGCTCCGTCGTTGTCTCTCTGGAATGTTCGGGATTTTAACAACACCCGAGTCCCTTGTTGACGGACGACTCGATCCCGTGCGTTTTGTGCTCGTCGATTTCCATTCAGTCGAGCGCTACTGCGTTCTCTGGCTTCTAGAGCTCCGTATACCTGCTGCTCAACGGCCCACTGGCCAGGAAGCCGTCAAACATCCGGCCTGGTATGCATGGGTTGTTCATGAATCCTGATGAAAGGCTAGATCATGCTGCTAATTCTAAATACCACGGAGAATTTATATCCTGCAGAAAGATTGCAAAAAAAATGAGAGCAGGCTCTTTATGCGCTCAACCTTTACCTTGGTTTGCCCCCCGCCCTGCTGTGGCACATCGGCGGTGCGAGTGCGACCGGGGGTATATTTCTTTTTATATCGAATCCTTTTTCCATCCAGGGGAGATTTGCATTATTGAACTTAAAAAAATAATTGATGCTGCGTTAACTCTAAAATAGGTAGATGCATTTTCTGACTCTCATTGAGCAAGAAGCCGCCATGCCAATTCACCGTATGCATGCTGTCGAGAGCTGAGCGCGAAAAGAATCCCAACCTCTGCATTCTTTGAGAAAGGAAAGAAATTTCTTCGGATCACTGTCTATCCGTGGCTTCACGTGTAGCCGTCAAAAAGCTATATAAGTGAGCTCCTCTCTCCTTCAGTTCTCGAATATCCAACAGCAACAACAACGACAACGACAACGACAACGACAACGACAACGACAACGACAACGACAACGATCCAGCAAGCAAGCAAAAGACATTCAAAGCAATTTCTTCCTCTCCCAAGCTCTCCAGCTTCACTTCATACCACTTCTCTTCACTCAAAACCACCGAGACTTCACTCTCATCCCAAATCATTCAAAATGTTCTTCTCCAAGGCCATCGCCGTTTGCGTCATTGCCGCCAGGTATGAAAACATAACACGGCAATGAATACTTCTCCCAGACACATCTAACAGTTTAATAGCACCCTTGTCAGCGCCTCTCCTGCGCCAGTCATCACCCCCAAGCCATGCTACACCAGGACCCTCTCCTACAGGGCCGCCTTCTGCCCTGCCACCTACACTCCACCATGTGATGGTCCTTGCTTTGTTGCAGTTACCACCTCCATCCCTTGCCACGACAAGAGATGCCCAACCACCAAGACCGTCAGCGTCAACTACGGTTGCCCAACTTGCACTTCGGTTTGCCCAACCGTCACCAAGTCTTGCAGCGCTTCTGCCACTCTCGGCCCTACCCTGACCGCTTCTTAAGCGCACATTGATTTTACGATATATAACGAAATATGGATGACCGGTTCTTAAAAGCAAAGCTATAAAAAAAGTGAATTTTTCTTGGCCCGACGAGTTATGCCCCCAGTCTATTTCTTGTTTCCTAATTCAACCGCTCTATATGAGCCCTTTAATCCCCCGATTTTACCCCTAGCCTAGATCAGATAGTTGCAAACAATTAACGATATTAATGATGGAATCGTTCTCCAAATATATTTGGCCATTACTAGTATATACTATGTCGGAGTATACAGAACTCATCGATTGACACAGATCGACAGCCACAGACAAAACGCCATCGGGAACTTGCATCATCTCCAACTCAATATAGCTGTTAGTCTCAGGGAAATACAAGTTTGACACTCCGTTCACGGAAACGATTGCCATTGAGAATTTGTTTCAGCAGCAAGAAGACGGGAACTGGCGTAACCAGGCGCTAGTATCTCTGTCTCCGCTATGACCCACACTACCAGTTATCTCTAAGCCAGTGTTCTTCCGTTGCGGGGAGAACGCAGTATAAAATGTAGTTCAAATCTCTGTACGCCATAGTAAGAAGCACATATGAAACACCATGGACATCGTATATTTCGTGATCGAGGAGCTCGCATAGCACTTAAGGATGAGGAACAAAGAAGTATACTGTCGCGATGGCCAGGAAACTGACGTGGTTATAGGGTTGCAAGCTTGAACCCGACATCTATAGCATTTGAGATGGGATAATAGTAGCCGAGACAGCTTCAATATATATACCATCCATCCAAGCTGGAAGATACCAGTTTGATACAAGCATTCTGTAAACCAAAATATAGAAACCGAAAGAACTCTAAGCCACAAGAGCCATTGAGTCATGCAGTCCTCTTTTATGTTCGCGTTGGCTGTAGCCATCCTCAGGTACCTAAACCTTTGCCCCTGGATTTGGTGAAATATCAGAGTTGACACAACCGTTCCAATTCTATAGCTCGGTCACTACCGGACAACTGCTACCACCATCAATTGTTCCTGAAATCCAGCCTTACCCATCTGGTGCCCCTATCCTTCTTGTCTCCGGCTCATTCAACCTGGGCCCTGCATCATCGGAAACGGCATATCCAGCACCCGGTGACGGTGATGATGATGATGAGAATGGAGATGATGAAAATGACGAGGAGTCTCCAGTGATTACAGGCTTGCCAGGTATCCCGGGAGACCATGAACCAAAGACTCTGGACCCTGAACCAAGTGCTACCACTCTTCGGGTACGAGGGGATTCATCCATCCAGATGCTCCCTGAGTCCACCTTGACGTCCGCATCCATCATGACTCGTACAACTTCTCAAGTAACGAGCTCTGAGCAAGTTCCGTCGACTCTGATTGAGGCTTCAACTTTGGACCCGACCTCTCTCACCCGACTAATTCCTGAACCCAGCACGATGTCGGCTTCTACTCTGGCTCCCAGGGCTACTCAGGCTTATCCCAGACGAAGAAGACAGGCAAGACATGCGGGTTATACCATGACGACATCTACGATATCAATCTCAGATCCAACTTCTCGGACACAGATTCCCCCTGAATCTACCATGTCGGCAACAACCCTAGCAACGGTGAAGCGAGAGCATAACAGGCACACAAACGGCGTTTCCAACCCTCGTCCTCACCATACGAATCCTGTCGGGGTATATCCTTCTGTCCCTAGCGTTAATCAGGCCGGTGCCGCGCCATGATCCATGTGCAACCTATGCCCCCAAGAAGTCGATGGCTAAGACCCTCCACACCATCGTACATGGTTGCACCGCCACACTTAGTTATGACATTAGGTTAGAAGAGATATGGATCCAATGGCGGTTGTTATTATGAAAAAGGGGCAAAGGGGCAAAGGGGAAAGGGGGCCTAATGCAACAGCATCCTGGTGATGAGCATTTGCAGGATAAAAGATCTAAAAAGGTAACTTTCTAGAACAGATAGGAAGTAGAAATTGAAGTATTTCGGGATAACTGAGCCTAGATTGGCCAGTTCAGTCTTTTTCAGCCAATTCAAGGGGTTCTCCAATTGATAGATGACCAGGCAGGTAGTATTAACTTGTGGTTAATATTGCTTTATTCCAAACGAGCCAGGCAAACATGCGTCAACCCCAACCTATCTATTTTTTCCATTTCGTTGAAGAAACATAACAATGTATATCGTGGGGAAGAGACATCAAGGCATTTCAAGTAGTAAGTCGTAAAGCATGGACGTTTCAGGGACAAGAAAAGAAAGTAGACAACCAAAGTAAGACAAAGGCTCATGCACTTGATACCATGCCAGCCAAGACACCGGCACCAATGATGCCTCCGTCAGAAGCTTCTCGGAGAAACACAGATTTACCACTCTCTTGTGGGCCATCCCATATAACAAGACGGTCGATGAAGCCCTGGCATGTCTCCTTGAAATTCGGGTAGTGCTGGATAATACCGCCGGTGTAAGCAACGACCAACTCCTCAGGGCCAGATTGCCAACCAGATGGCGGCGAATCCATTGCCGGGGTAGAAGGGTCCTGCGGCGTGGTAGATGCGGGTCTATACACGCTTGTGATGGTATCCGTTGAATTGTTAAACGACGGGACTATGATATTGGTAGATCGTCTGGGGTTGGTAGCGCCATCGGAGCGTAGCTGAATCTCCTTTTGACATGCTAGAAGACCAACAACAGCTGCTGCAACAAGCCCTGCAGAGCGTGTCTGTACTATCCTAGCTGTTTTCCGGAATGCTCGGGCAGTATAGATGTCCCAGTTCCAGCTGCTTGATTCCGGAGGAGGTAGGGTAGATTTGAGCTTTGCTACTAGATCCTGATCGGTATGCGTGGGGGCTATGTGGTTAGATAAGTAGCTAGTTGATAGAGCGTAGCCTTGTATGAGGTTCGCTGGTAGTGACTTGGGCGACAGCTTGAGCACTGATGTTAGATAGTCGTAGAAGACGAGCCTGACCAGTTCGCCAATGTATCGTCCTCCAGTCATGTACTCAAATGGTTGAAATCCAGGTCGAGCACACTGCTCGTCGAGTTGAATATCCCATTTGGTAGTAAACTTCAGCTCTCGTAAGGGGGGAGCTGCGCCGCCAAGAGTAAACTCTGTGTTAACCACCGTCTCTGTTGCATTAGGCTGCTGTGCGGAGACACATTTAGCCTTAGACTCGTGTAGGTCCGTCAGTTTCATTGGTATTGTGGCATTGCATCCTGTTCCCACGATGAGGCCCATGGCAACTCGGCTGTTGGGTAGAGACTTGACCATGTAGGCAAGTGAAGCGAGAGTAGCAACTGTATCGTTGGTGATGGCTGCAATTTTCAGCTTCGGCAATGGGAATCTCCTCCGTCGTTTGGTAGAGGGTTCGTCGGAGCCGTATGGACGTCGGGTATGCCGGTCATAGCCCGCTAGTAGTATCTTACCCAGGTTTAGATCCGATGTGATTGCGAATCCTTTGCCCATGGGCATCAACGTAGCCTCTGCCAGCGAATCTTGCCTATCCAAGGGAGTTAGCCAGATCCTAGCAGCCGTGCATATCATCTTCTCTACTTTATCAAGTAGATTTATACATACATCATGGGAAAGCTGAAGGTAATGCCCATCTCAAGCTCCTCAGGGGCATCCTGGACGTCCGCATCGGTAGCTAGGCTGTCCGCCACCACCTCGGCCATGCAGTCCCCGATCCATAGGAAGAGATCTTCGGCCTTGTCCATCTTGAGATGCTCAGCTATCGGCCATGCTTTCTCCAACGTCCGGCGCACTCGATGCCTCTGCGCCTTTCGGAGCGTATCACGTGACTTTTCCATGTTGGAGACGGCTTCGCTGGCCGGATGCCCGTTGCTGCTGCTGCTGGCGCTGCTGTTTTCCAGGTCGTCGGCGGCAGCGCCGAGTAGTTCGATGAAGGCGACCCTGAGATTGCTCCCGCCAACATCTATGGCTAGGTATCGGCCCGTCTCCTGGCCGTTTGGCAGCCGGGTAACGGGCGTGGGTAAGAATTGCTGGTCAGAAGTGCGCGCGAGCTCGAGGTAGAGCTGGGAGAAGCGGCATCCCAGCTGGTACAGGCGGGCATCGTTGACGGCGAGGGGTGCAAGGAAGTTGTCTATTGTCTCGTCATGCATCAATTGCTCCTTGTCGCCCTGCAGGTCTAGTCCGGGCTCGCCGTTGGCATCTTCGTCTTCCCCCTCGAACGGCTCAACGGCAGCGTTGTGGTCACTTTCGTCCTCTTCGATACTGTGTACAGACATGATGGACGTCATTATCGAGGTACGGGTGACGATCCAAGAGGTGTTGTGCTGATACGGAGGCTGGCCTAGAGTATACGATCTTATACGGAGAGATCAAAGACGGTCCCGTTAACTAACTAGTTAGTTAGTCAACTGCCGGCTCGCTTCGAGAGGAAAACGGTCTCCGAGCTGCCACCGTCGCTTGTACGCTAGAGGGTATTCGCTGGCGATGATAAGGTAGGATAAGGCGTTGTCAAGCGATTGACCGATCTAGATCGTAGGCTCTGATCCGTGGAGAGATTGGAGATATAGAAGGCGAATAACTAGAGCAAACCCATACACGTCAGACCAGTACGTTTGACAACCGGCATGCCAACGAACAGCAGACTTCACAAACCCAGACGACAGGCCCCTTTTATAACTCGAGGCGTGGAAGCCTGCGACGGAGGGGATAATCTCGTATGACTCTCGGGATAAAATAGCGATGTGACCCTATCACGGCCGAAGTGAATAGTTATATAAATATTGGCCGGACCAAGAACCGCTCGACGTTGCTTCAGAATAACTGACTAGCTAGTTAACCTAGCGGGGTGGTAAAAAAAAGGTACGGAGTCACGGAAGAACTGCGAAGGCTCAATACGATGCTATCGGCTACCTGTATGCTGAGTGCTTCGGCTGCCGTCTGGTGGTCCTGGTGGCAGTGCTGGAGGCGATGGTGATGATGGTAACTAGGCGACAGACCCCCCCTTTAAACGGCCTGCCGAACAAGCAGCTAACTAACTAACTAACCAAGGGGAAGGGTGGTCTTTACAGGGAAGATACAATGCAAAGACCAGCTCATTTCCACCATCGATATCGCTTCAGGGATCTATTCTCTTCGGCAACGAGTTGATGTGCAGTCATATCGGGATATCAGGGGTGGATCAACTGCTGGGATGCATTGTATGACCAGAAATCAAACTCCCCACCGAGATATTGAGCACTCTCCCTTTAACCGTAACTGACGTCTTAATACTTAGTTACCCGCGAACTAAAGTGGGATAACGGTTTGCTTCTGTGCCTTAGCGGCGGAGATCAAGCAGGGATGTCCCATTAAGCAATGTGTATTAAGATGCTATAATGCACTGGAGCCAAAGCGGCCGGGACTGAGGAGACAACCCTCGGCCTAGACGGTCTCTACTCTGGCATTTTTTTCAACTCTTCTAGATGGAGTTCTGGCTGAGCAAGACTCAATATATCGGCATCAAAACCAATCTCGTCCAGCTATGTTCCCTACCTACGAGAAGAATATACGGACTTGCTAAAGCGGATTCCGCGGAAGGATTGATGCAACGCTGTGTCTGATGCCTGTCAGTCCTGGATGGTGATCTGGAAGCTTAACCATGGCTGCATCATCTTCTCCTGATAAGCGGAACCACCACCCGTCCGGTCTGGAAGATGTTGCATTTTCATGCCATTCACGGTCCACACCGGTCAGTTGTCGCAGTTGCATCATTTTGATACTCCTTTGCACATCGCCCTTCTGCCTGACTTCTTCCTAATCATCATCATACACTCGCTAAATTTTTAAGCTTGACTGCCCGGTCACCCGTATCCCTGGTTGGGGGCTAAATTAGGCAGGAAGAGGTGTTCCTGGACATGGACAGCCCTTGTCTGGCTAAGGGCTTTCTGATACGATGCCAGGGCTTCCAGAACAACAGGATCTCCACGTACCAGCACCTTGAAACTCGGCAGGGTAACAAGCTACGTAATGTTGGGCGCAGAGGCGAGGAGACCAGAAACCCAGGGTTTCTTCTGGCATCTTTCTTCACTACTTCCAAGCCAGGTCAACCGTGAAGAGGCAACCAACAAACCTACAACGTAGTATCGATATGGCCTTCTCTCATGCTCTTTGCAGGGATCAGAAATGTTCAACCTTTGCTAGATTGGCTGTTTGACTGGCTATTTGACGCAACTTGCTATGCAGGAGTAAATATCCGTATCAAACTGCAGCTTTGCCTTCGGAGTTGGTATCTCTTTTGAGAGCATCAAGCGAAGGCTCTTCCCTTATCCCTTGATCCTTCATCTTCGCCTCCGCACCTCTCTCCCTACCTATCGTTGTCTCGTCTTCTTAACTAGCTTCATTTTCATCTCCTTTTTCTCTCCAGCAACGAGAAGTGTTCCAATCCATACCGGATAAAGTATA